GAAGGAAGGAAGGAAGGAAGGAAGGAAGGAAGGAAGGAAGGAAGGAAGGAAGGAAGGAAGGAAGGAAAACAGAATTCAAACTGGTCAACGAGACTCCATTCTGACGTGTTGTGATAATGCTAACAAAGATGCTAGATGACAGAGTGTGCTTCTGGGGGCTCTGTCACCACTTGGAGAGACCCTGGCTAAAAATGAAGTCAAAATAAAGGAATGTGTTTATCCCCAAGGTCAATGACTGGGCACCTAGATACATTCCAACTCAGTTATGTCAGGAAATGGATTCCCTTTGGGGTCAAGCTAGTTTGACTTCTATCCTGTATCCCAGAAAAGAATTCTAATGATCATAAAATACCATAGTGAGATGGCTTCACTTTGGAGAGAAAACCTTGATTGAGTTCTAATCTATTTAGAAAGAGAAACTGTTAGCACATGTCAAATTTTCAAGATTTTGTAACTCTTGATGTACACAGAGCATGGATTCTCCTGCCTATGGAATTAATACAGTCCCTCTGCTGCATTTCTAGGGCCTGCTGTGGCGCTCCCGACAGGGAAGTCTTTGCTAAATGAGTCTGATGAACGAACTTACCGCGATGTGACGGGGACACCATCTATTGTAGAACTCACTACTCACAGACTGTTCTCTCTCCATCCGAAGGAGTATTCCTCCCACCCCCTCTGACTTCCACCCTACTCTGTGTACTTGTCTCTTCTACTGTATTCAAAGCTGAACTTTTGACACAAATCTTGTTTAGACTTTTGAAAACCCCATATCCATTCCCAAATGCCTAGGCTCTATTTTCTGTCAGAGGATCCAAGGAAACTCAGGCATGCCGACATTTCCCTTGAAGAAAAGAGGTCACTGTTCCCCAGCTGGTTGATCTGCTCATGTGGTCTGGCAGTTTACACATCGCTGTTTTCTAGTACAGACTCACCAACCTTTCCATTTCTAAGACCCTTTGAGATTCTCATTTGAAGAGACTATATACATTTATTAATCTTCAGAATAACAGTTTGTTTTGTTGTTTTAAAATGTGAAGTGGGTTTATAGACATGGACAAAACTTCTTTATATCCTTATCTTTATTTCAACATTTTTCTACAGCAGCTAGGAGAATACAGAGCTAACGACAGCTACACACCAAGTACAACATTAGACAACTACAAATTCAGAGCAGAAAATGTCATTCTGATATTGTTTTGGCTTTCCTTTTAGCATTAGGTGATATCCAGTGAAAAACTCATGTTTCCAAGGCTTTGTTGATATGAGGTGAATTGTTAACCTTCTAGAAGCTTTCCTGTGAGACTCTCTGGAGAGGCTTGGTAACACCTTTCACCTTTCAGCATTTCTGCTTCCTCACCTAATCACTTTGCAGAGATTAACTGTGTAGATTAAGAAAATTCTTTCTCCAGATTCAAGGAAAAAAAGCATATTTGAAAACTGCAATGTCCCATTTCACTGTATTTCAAAGTCAGGTCCATTTCACAATAAGTTATAAACAGTTAACATAAAAACACAGTATGTTAAATGCCATGAACTCATCTGTGCAATACTGGTGGAACAATTTAAGCTTTCCAAGAACACAAGAAAATCAATACTACTTCAGGAATCCACGAAAGAACGTAATTAGGGATTATAAACCACAACACTTAAAGGAAATCCACATTTCCACATTTAAAGGAAAAATCACTGTTTTCAGGAAAAATAATGGCTCATGTGACTTAGGCTAAGATTTTACAGCACATAATAACAGCAAGTTATTGAAACTACTGACTCTGAAAAATACATGGGAATGCATTAATTTTCCAAACATTAAATTATATATGACAATTTCAACCTTCAAAAGCAAACCCAAAACTTTCTCAACTATTCCAAGCAATATGACAATGTCAAGGATATGTTAATTGTTTACAGATATGTTATGAGTCTAATTCTATCCATTATATTAAGCTAATGAACATTTTCAGCTAGACCAAATTATAAAATAAAAAATGTATAAAATGCATTTGGGAGATGTTTGACATGGCATCTTTCGGTTTTTGATCTATCGAGAATTTGACTAAAATTAAGGTACTATAACGGATTAGAACTTACACAGCTACTTTCCTGTTTTTACTCAGCCTTTTACAGTAGGGCACCTTTACATTTTTAAAAGGTTTTAGTGTTGTACTTTTGCCTTTATTAAAAAGGGGCTAGTGAAAGGCGAGACACCCACGGATACTCTGACTTCTGTCCTGCTTCCTCCAGTGCTCATTTGCTCACTGTCATGAGGAGTTGCACTAACTCAGAAACACTCTTAAAGCTAACATTTTATTGGTTGCTTCATAAATTCAAGTCTCTGTTTGGAAATGACAGGTGTCAGGAGATGCAGGAAGGAGAGAAAGGAATCAGTGGTAGGAAGCCACATCCAATCCAAATCCTCACAAAACCTCAAGAAACATGGCAAGATATCCCTCACTGAGGACAAGTTCTGGGGAACTTAAGGCAGCTCTAATAGGGACGGGGCAAGGGTTAAGGCGGCCCTCACAGCACAGTCTGAGAACAGTTACAAAGCACTAGCACAATGCTTGTGGCTTCCAGCACGCATGCCCACAGCACAGCTCCAGTGTCTCCCTGGCAGCATGCTGGGGGCACTTCCAAGCTTACTCTGACTTGCCAATGGTGGACAGCCCCAGGGAGGGAGGTACTTGGTGTCCTGGGCTCCCCTAGACAGCAGACTAAAACTACAGGAAAGTTCTCTGTAGGCTGTGCAGCTTAGTCAGGGGCTCTCACAGGGAAACCTCAGGGTTGTGGAGAGTGGCCTGCCTTGCCTCTCACATCTGAGGTTTTTACTGCTTCCTGTCCTTTTAGTTTGGACAGCCTCTAATTTGAGAGCCCACACCCTGTCAAGGAGCACTGATTCATGACAAAGGGCAAGCCTTGTCACAGCTGGTGCTACAAGTACTGCGCACTGACCTCCAAAGAAGCAAGCTGGTGTTCATCATTCGTCTCTTCCCTCGTACCAGTAGAGAAGAGGGCCCACTAGCCCAGGGCACCCCCCTCCCCCCAGCATCTGGAGGGACAGCACAGCCTCTGCCCTGACTGCTGGAGGACAGTGCCACTCTAGGCAAGTCACTGAGCACACCACTGTCCCGAACTGTCCCTCACGATGACTGTGGGAGCTGTCTCCTGTCAACGCTGTGAGGGGGTGAGGTAAGAAAGAAGAGTGCTGGCGTGAAGCACATGCATATGGGCTCCAGCTCTGGGCTACTTCCACCAGGAACATGCGGTGTCACACAAGGACATTCGCTCTTTAACCCTTGACAAGACCTCCTGAAAAACTCTCAGCTGGTGACTGTGGGTGTGAGAGAAGGAACTCTTTGTGGAGCTCTCAGGATGGCGGTAGCTCCTCTTTTCCTAGAATTGTCAGAAAAGTAATTTCTCACAATAATCAAGACACTGATTTTCACAGCCTCCTGTATACACTCTGAAAGAATATGTGTATTGCACACACTTGCTCACCCATTAGGAGTCTATCTACTGAAATGAATCAGTAACAAAGCAAGTCCTCTAAACTGGCACAAATCTAAAATTTCTATCACTTCGCTTTGGATTATAGTTCTGTATATCTGCTTTCAAAGCAGTGCCGGGTCATGTGGAATGTTCAAAGTTTCAAAGGAATCATCAAGTTGTCCTTTCTGCATCTGATCTTTCATGCTTATCTTTCCTGCTTTGCAGTTACTCAAAGGCAGACTCAAGCCTTGGGCTAAGAAAAGCTGCAGGAAGGGAGGGAATCTGCTTCTTCTCACCTTGGATCCCAAGGGTGTAAGCTGCATATGCAGCAGGGAAAGTGGGTGGTATTGGCAGGGGCTACCAAGAGGAAGAGGTGCTGTGCTGTTGTGCCTTTCAAGAGCTCCTTCTTTGGAGTCCAAGTGTGTCATAGAGGAATGATGGAAAAGCCAATTAGTGATCATGATAAGCAGTAGAGAAACGAGAACAGAAAGGTGTGCGCACAGACACCAAAAGGTAAGTCCCATGCATGCCAGCCAGGGCCACAGAAAACCATCTGGCTGGTAAATTAGACCGGGGGAAGAAGCAGGAAAGTGTGACAGGCAGAGGAAAGCTGGGTGTATGTCTGAAGCTAGGTGAGGGTACAGATGAGAGAATGGAGTTACCCTACCTGGTCGGCAGAAACCTGGTGCTTCCTTAACAAAGTGCACATGGTCACTTACCAGGTTTTGAGATTCCCTGGTTATAAAGTATTCTTCTGAGGACTAAAAGCCTCCAGATAAACAAGAGATGATACTTCAGATCCCCATCTGGGGTTCTGAAGCAGCTTGAAAGAGTCGGAGCCTGAAATAATAGAAACTCTGAGCATTATCACTGAAACAGGAGAAACTGCAGAGTAGGAATAGCTATGGAGCAGGAGTTTCGGGTCTTGACAGCAGAGAAAAAGTACCAGAAACTGTAGGACACGATGTCTGCAGTAAGGAGAAAAGGGCTCCAGGGACAGCGGCAGCATGATCTTGAAGACAAAACTCAGGGTGCACATCAGTCATCCTACACAGGATTAAGCTGGGAGCAAGGTGCGGGAGGACTGCCAGGGCTGAGGGAAGACAGCCCACACATGGCTCTGCCACCTGCTACCCCTCTAGTGTATGACACACGGCACGGATGAAGTTGCTTTAAGCATTAACTGTTCACTGAAACAATATAGAAAACCCACAAAAATTGAATCTGGTTGAATTAGTGTTTTAGGTTCTGCAAGTAAATAAATGTACTAGAACTGATAAAGGGCTGAGACTGCAGCTCAGTGACAGAGGACTGATTTAACATACATGGCCCTGGGTTCAATAAAATCCTTCAAATGACAAAGCAGCTCATCACGTAACAAAAATCATGTAAACTACGCGACTTTCAGATAACACAAATATATTAGGAACTTCCTAAAGTACCTAAATGATGTACGTTAAGAAAAAGTTGTGGCTACGTAAACTTGTGACTTACTGTGTTAACCCAGGGAACCGACAGGCACTAAACACTGGTCTTTACAACAGGATGGACTGAGTAACTGTGGCCCCTTGCCCAAGGAACCAAACATGAGGGAACTGTAAATGGGGAAGTGGCTGGAGCAACCAGCTGCCCAACCCTCTTACTTTATAAACAAGGACATTCAGGCTCCAGCAAGATAAAGGACAATAACTGCTGTTTAATAACAGTATTTATCATTGACTTGAAACTGTTTAGTTCTCATCAGTAATATTGCACATATTTAAATGTCACTGGTATCGACCATCTTACAGTTAAACTATACAAATTGATGTAACCAAGAACCAGAGGAATAAAAGCTAAGAATTTGTTCTTACATAACTCAAAGAATTTATTATATAAGACTTCCAGAAAAAAAATGGAGACTATGTTTAATTAGACTTTCATAATGAAGGTTTACAGAATCTAGGTCTTACTGAACCAAATCCTCTATAAAATTTAATAATCTTCTTATATTTCTTACATAAATCTTCTTACTGTATTTATAATATGATGTTTTTTAAAGTATTTAGTGATATCTGAAAACATTTATAGAGGATGCAACACCTATACCCCCTGAATTATAATGATTTATTATATGTCTTTTTTGAATAACTTATAAGATAATCAAAGTTTCAAGATCTGAATCATAAATATTCTGATAGTCCTTTCTAGATAGTGACTGAGGCTAACACTTAATAAATTAAAAATAGGACCAGTTAATGTTGAATATATGCATGGCAAGAATAAGATTTGGGAACTAAAAATAAGTAATTTTACAGAACACTCTACCATGATATGATATTCACACAGGTAAAATTAATTTGCATATCAGTGTAATACATCCTGATCAGCAAGGACATCCCAGCCACTCTTAACACTACCTAAACATCGAACATCTTGTCCTATCACTACACAACTTCCAGTGTCTGCTACTTGTGCAGATGAACTTGTGGATAATTGCATATAACCCTGTTAAAACTGATCTGGTTGAATTGTAAACAGTGAAGAAAGAGAAGCTGGTTGTGCAGTGCCTAATAAGACTATTGTCAGGAGACAGCACATAGCAGTAATTTAAGATGCTTGGTAAGCTACAGTACAAAAAGCAACTATGCTACCTAGCAAGCCAGCATCTTTAATATCGCTGTACCATAATGACACAAACAAGGAAGTTACTTGGGCAGTTACTTTACATATTGCCAGTTTATTTTTTTGATCCAGTTTGACAATATCAACATGATTGGCTCCTAAGCTGATATGTATTCAGTAGTGATTTTTCTTTCAGTTCTTTGTTTGTGCCTTGCTAACAATAGTTCATCCATATGGAATTTTATTTTTGTATGTCACTTAAATGCAGCACTAAAGGTTAAAAACAAATGCTGTCAGCTGAAGACACACACTTTTACTCTTCTTCTCATTCCTCCCTGATATCATCCATCTGTATGCAAACTCAACCGGTGAAGAATGAATGTTGCTTTAAAGGTAACACGGGACAAGGTGTCTTCTCCCAAGTGAAAGGATTCTAGGGAAATTTCCAGTTAATAACATCTTTTAGAGATAATCAGTACTTTTCTTTAAAAATGTATTTTCAGTAGCTCACTGGAAACGACTGTTCTTATTCAGAGGAGAAATGCGTTCTCTATGTTTGCCTGGACAGCACTTCAGACCCGTGCAATGAAGCCCAAGCCTAGGCTGGCTGGGATCTGGATGGTTTCTAGGGCAAGGGAGGATGGGTTAAAGGGAAATGTGACAGGAAAGATATGTTTAGCATCCATGAGCAGCTGCGGAGAATCTTTCCTATCTCGTAGCCGCATCTAAGATTTAAAAAAAAGGACAAACAGGGTGTTAGTCCTTCCGATTTGTAAGATACTTTTCTACCAAAATTTCTTAAAAAAACTTTAATAAAAATGTTAATCTTTGCTTAAAAATACTTAGTGACTATAATCTTATATAAAACGTCAATGTCCTACAAAATAAGTAAAATGGAAAAGTAAATATAAGAACACATTATCCCTCCAAAATATGGTAAATATTCCACTGGAGTGAGCCTGGGGTGAAACAGTGAGAAAGAACAAGCCCCTTACCTGTATAGTGCGGATGAATGAGACAGAGACCCTTTCTTCAAACTCATTAACGGGGGTGTACAGGTTCAATACCTTGACGATCTGGAGAGATAAAGGGTAAAGCTTTTGGCATATTTCACAAACAGGCTGGCTCTTCATGATCTAGTGAGTGGGAAGAACCTCTTAGTTCTACCTGGGGTGGGCTGGAGAGGGAAGGAGACGTGTGTGTGTGTGTGTGTGTGTGTGTGTGTGTATGCATACACAGATATAGATATATAACCATATCTCAAATGCAGCCTGAGCTGGACTTGAGTTTGCTGTCCTCTTGTATCAGCTTCCAGGTGCTGGGATCAGAGACTGTAGACCATGCTGGCCTCACTTTCAAGTTGTTATTTAAAGCTGTGCTAACACACTAGTCATCACAGCCACATGTAGTTATTTACATTAAATTACTTAAACAGAAGGTTAAGTACAGGGCAATGCTGGCGCTCAACATGGTACCTATAGGTAAAGTGTATGGTAAGCACCAGAGACATGGAATAAGAGGCAGGAATAGCGACCAGTCTGTGAGTGACACACTGGGCTCAGGATTAGGCATTCAGAAGCAAGGGTTAGAGCTGTGCAGAGAAGGACTGTTCACTAAAACTTGCCACATAAATCAAAGAGATAACTGGATTCTAGGTCTACCTAATGCTTGGAGCATATACTGAAGTTGAAATATTTAAGTTGCAGGGCACATTCTTTAAAAGCTGGAGGACAGGAAACATCTGTAAGCCGGGTTTCCCCACTGTTCCTTTACTTTCCATACTTGGCAGAAATGGGGAAGGTCTCAAGACTGCCACCAGTCCCGCAGATTTCCACTTCTATTGAAAGCTTACAGCAGAAGTTTTGCAAACGTGAGTCTGACACTAAGTTGCAGACAGTGGTTCTGACTGTCTTTCCTGAGAAAAGTGAATTACACTGGCCACTGCTGCACTGGGAAGACAAAGATTCAGTGCAGGAAATACCAGGCGAAGAGAATAGCAGGCTCTTTGGATGCTTTCTTCCAGCTGCTGCTGTTTCCTCTAACAACCTTCCTATCCTGTCCCCGTCCTTAAGTTCAAAGCTGCGGAGCGGCACTGCTCAGAGAAAGGCTGTCATCTCCTCCAGTGCTTCTTGTAAAGCATAAGACAGTGTCTGTCAGAGTTTTTATGATAGTGTCAGCTTCATGCATTTCTGTTTCCCTACTGAACTATAAGCTCACGAAGGTAGAGATTTTTCGTTCTTAACTGAAGTATTTTCCCCTACAAGTATGATACTGTGTGATGGGAATTAATCACTTGATGAACTGAGAGTAAGAAATGCTTTGAGTATGTGTGTACACATGTGGGCCATGCAGAGCATGCATGTGGAGGTCAGAGGGTGACCCTTGGGAGCTGGCTCTCTCCTTCCACCACGTGGGTTTCAGGCATCCAGCTCAGGTCATCAGACGTGATAGTAAGCGCCTTTACTACCTGAGCCACATTACTGGCCCTAAAAAGAAAAATATAAAGGTCCAATAATTATTAAATAACAGAAATAACTTCATGAATTGGAGCTACACACAATATATGCCCCACAGGACATTGTTTTATTCCAGGCTCTCCCAAGGCTGACAACATCACACAGAGTACTAGGTACCTACTCTTTGCTGAATATTCTGTAGATGCCTATTAGTAGTATTGAAATGTATTATGATAATAAAATCGCCTCTCTTCCAGATTTACATAGTTATGTATCTTCTTGTCAAAGGAGGAAGTCAGGCAGAGAGGAGAGCAACGGCCAGGCCTGCCTTCTCTGAATCCCTCTGTGACGGTTACCATGGTGTGCCACCTTAGGAGGCTGCAGTACCTGGGCAGTGGTCAGAGCATTGCACATGGAGCAGATGGCTTCAGCATCATCATCGGTTTTCTTTTTCACTTGCAAAAGTTGAGCAGCCTGAATGAGAGGTTCCAGAGTCTCTTTGGCCCCACTGTTCATTAGATTCTTGTCACGTAGCCATTCTTCCAATTGACTGACATTGTACCTACGCCAAAAATAAAAAGAGAAAGTGTAAGAAAGAATAAAAGAGAAAATGCAAATTTTCTGAATGCTGTCATAAGTGTCTTAATTTTGTGTATGTAGCCTTGTCAGTTAAAATGACAGGTAGTATTTTTGTTCAATTTTCTAAAATCTAATCAGCTGTGCTTTAACATTTATCATTATAAAGTCATGAGGCTTATAATTATAATTATGTAAGACTGAATGACAAGAGACTGCAACTCTTTATTGGAAGATGGAAACAAAGTCATCAGAGGAAAAGTTATTAGACTTGCTAATAAACAAAACTGAATATAGCATATGACTCTGCTCTTACCAAACAGCTGACTAGAATGGACTTTCTGGCTTCTCCTGCAATTTCAGACATAGATTCCCTTTGCAGGATAAGTCTCTCAATTCTTCATGCACTCTGCCTTACTTAAGACTCCAAATTGGCTGAATAACCAGATATCCCAATATATGCTTTGGACTCAAGCTTCTCTAAGAAAGGGCCTTGACAATGGGAACAGTGGCCTGAGAAATTCTCAGCCTAGAGATAGAAGAATAAAAGGAAAAGAAAGCCCTTGGGAAGAGATGGATTCCAAACTGGAGAGATAAGGAAATTACCCAGATGCTAGGGTTTAGATGCTCAGCTATCTAACGGCAGATTTCAAACTACAGTTAAGGCAGACGAATACACAGTCAGAACTCAGGAAGAAGGAGGCATTATGATATTAAGATGAGTGACTTCAGTTGGGTGTGATAGCACATGTCTGTAATCTTGGCACTTGGGAGGTAGAGGCAAGAAAATCATGAGTTCAAAGTTATCATTGACTACACTGTGAGTTTAAGATCAGCCTGGCTACATGAGGCCCTGTCATTTAAAAAAGGATCCATAGCTTCATGAAAAGTTAGAATCCCTGAATGGAGGTAATACTTTAAAGTGAAATGTGGAGAAGAACGGTCAATATAGAACACTAAAGTTTGCTAGTAGTAACTATAGATAGACTGTGTAGAAAACCCCTTCTCTCTTTCTCAGTGAATATACTGACTGCAGCAGAATAACTATTTGCCTCTCCCCATTCAGTTATGAGGCGATGATGAGCAGCGGGTATGATTAGCTGCTGCTGGGCATGGGTGGTGCGTGTCTGCATTCCTGGTTGAAGCAGGGTTGTGAGCCCCAAACCAGCTGGGTCACACAGTGAGACCTTTTCTCTAACACAAGAAACTAAAATTTAAAAATAGAGTCTAGGTTGTTTTTTTTTTTTCCAAATTCAACTGTTAGTAAATTATCTCTTTGGATCTATTACTTTCCTTCAACTTAAACCTTTTTTAATTAGTTGTTTTCAAGTGTATGAGTTTGGGTGGATATATGTACATGTACACAGTGTGCACAGAGTCCTGAAGAAGGAGTTGCATCTCCTGGAACTGGAATTACAGATAGTTGTGAATCACCACATAGGTGCTGCGAAACTTCCCTGGGTCCAATGCAAGAGCCACCTCTCCAGCTCCTGTTGAGCCTATTCTCATTCATATTCCTAATATGGAAAGATTCTAAGAGCAACCACCAAATTCTAGAAAGTTTCATTTTCCCTAATATTTTCTTACTGTACAGTGAAAACAAAATCTGTTGTTGTTGTGCCTTTTGTACATCCCTACACTCCTACCAACAAGGTGGCTTAACAGAGGAGCAGGGTTTCCTCCTGAGCAAGAGAACCCACCAAGTCAGAGAACTGGCTCTATGTCAGTCGTTCTCACACGCGTGGCCATGTGGCATCAACACTAGGTGCACTGCTTGGAAACAAGTCATGAGCCCTCAAGAGGCAAACAGGCCAGTGACAGCTGTTGGTGTTTACTCACCTGATCTGCATGCCTTTGCTCCAAGAGCACATGTCCTTGCGCAGAAGGAGGTTGTTTAGGGTGATGGCGCCCACAATGTAGAACATCTGCTTGACCACCTGCTTGATTAGCTCTGGGTCCATGCCATGCTGGCACATGACTGAATGGAAGGAGTTGAGCTGACGTAGGATGGAGTCCAGCGTGTAGGTGCCCTCGTCTGCGATACTGGATGTTCGCTTTCTGAGTCCTGTGGGCTTCACTCCGGATACACCCTGAATTGTTTCATGCTCTAGCATGCCTGAGACTGTAGAAGTATTTCGATTATTAAGAGAATTCAGAGGGAGGTGCACATGTGTATGCCCCCCCACTTTAGGAAATGAAGTATAAGTTTTTACAGTATTAGGGAACCTTACTGCTGTGTTTTCTAAAATAAGCAGCAGCTTTTGGGACTGCGCTGGCATGTGGTATCTGAGAAGTTTTTGAGAGTGGTTAATAAGTGTTCTTTGTATTTGATCTCAGACATTAAAAAAAACCAAAAATCCAAACAACAACAAGAACAGAACAATAACAAGAAGACAGTAAGAAAGGCATGACCTTGGGAAGCAGTCTTGGAGAATAAGACCTGTTAGTGCTGGTGGTGTGGAGATTGGAGAGCTGAGCTTCCCCCTGATCCTCACAACTGCAGTGAGACTTTGGGATGCCTTGACTTCTCCAGACTTAGTCTCTGTTCCTGTACCTCTTTCTCTGTGTCTGGTTTATGCCTCCTTAGAAAGCTTCTAACAGTCGACTCTGAGATACCCACTCTGAGATGTCCACTTTGAGATGCCCATCCCCCTTACCTGGGAGGCCCTTGTGCTGCGGGAGTACCCACGGTGCTGCAGGAGTGCCTTCCACTCCTTCAGTCAATAGCGACTGAAATACCAGCCCACTGGGGCGTGGTATATTTCTCTTTAAAAAAGAGCAGCAAGCCTCAGCTCAGCCTCTTGGTTCCGGCTCCTGCTCCAGCGACTAGGCTCCTTTCCTGACGGTTTGTGTGTATGTAAGTTTTACCCCCCAACAAACAGGCCCCCTCGTGTTACACCCTTGAAAGTAATCACCATACCTTGGTTGTTTTATTTTTTTTCCTTGTGCTAAACTCAGCTCCTCACAAACCCTATCCCAAAAACATTTGTTGTTGCTATGACTATATAGTTAGATATAGGGGATACTTAGAATGGGAGAGCTTAGAGGCAAACTTCTTGTTCAACCAATACATATGGTAATACCCATGTGGAAAGGTGAGAAAGACTGGTGGAAGCTGGTCTTCTTGGCATCTGTTACTTCTTGTATTTTGGTCAATTTAAGAGTGTTTTAAATTTATAATTTCTGAAGGCACAAGGAAAAAATATAACTGCTATCTCATATGGCCTCCTCAGACTTTTATGTCCCAGATGTTTAAACTGCGGGCCTATGAAAGGAAATGAAATCTATGAGCTCATTAAGGGAGGTGAAAATGTACAAACATGGAGAAAAAGTAGTCAAAGGAAGAAAGTAAGGGAAGCTTGATATAGTTTGAAGACTGAAAAGCCTCAAATTTGCCTTGAGATAAAAGTGTTTAGTAATTAAAACAAAACAAAACAAAATAATTTGCCACATTAAAAATCAGCAGTCTGCAATTTGGACATGACCAATTCCTATCAAACAAGCTACACATCCCAAGGGAATCAGACAGCACAAATTATAAAAGAACCTTCAGAATTAGTATAAAGAGAGGGGCATGGACTCACACTCCATGGACATATATAAACAGAAAGCATATATGCCACTCAGCCAATGGGAAACCAACACTTTCAACATTTCCAGAGATAAAGAACTCGGCCTGGAGTGTCTGCTACAAACCTATGACAGCTGTTATTGCTACCACAGTGCCTTTCCAGACATTTCACTGTAGAGCAATAGGCAAAATGCAAACCCATTCCAGCCTCCTTGGTTCTCACTGGTTTCCCCCAGGAGGCTCTGTGCAGTAGTGCCAATCTAATTAGAAGTCCGAAGTCTTTTTGACAACTGGACACAGGACAAAGTCTATTGCTAGAAATAAGGCACAGCTAAGTCTCCAGAGAGAAGACTTAAACACAGACTCTAGTGCTTCCGTCATGTGGAGACAGGGATTTCTGTTGTACCTACTATTTTATGTTTTCCACAGGAATACATGCCTGACACATGTCCCACTGGCCTCATTTCTTGGCAGCACATGTGAGGCTCAGGAACACTGGTCTTACCTATCATCGGCTGAAGGATGTTCTCTAATACTCTTACAAGCTGCTGGTAGATCTGAATGGCCAAGTCGCTTAGCACTTGCCGATATTCGGCAAGGTCAAAATTGGTGAGGCAGTGTTCATTCTGGCGAGATGTGTTGTGTTTCATGAAGCCCTAGAATCAACACAGTGTTAGGGGTGCACAGGAAGCCAAGTGCCTCTGCCTCCAAGAGCCTCTGCCCATCTCACTCTGCAATGTGCTCAGCACCTTCATGCCCAGTGCCACGATAATCATTCTCAATACTATTGCTTATGTTTTTTTTTTTTTTTCGAGATAGGGTTTCTCTTTAGCTTTTGGTGCCTGCCCTAGAACTAGCTCTTGTAGACCAGGCTGGCCTCGAACTCAGAGATTTGCCTGCCTCTGCCTCCCGAGTGCTGGGAATGAAGGCGTGTGCCACCACTGCCCGGCCTTGCTTATGTTTTTACTCTGGTCATCAACCTCCTCCACTTAAAGTTTTGAATAATAAATGATCTTGGCAACCTATACCTAAGATGGAGGAATTTAACTTAAGAAAAAAAATATTTCATTAATAAAACAGTAAACACTAAATAACTGAAAGTACTCTTTAAATATAGTCCTATTCATATACACCACACTCAGAGGGACATATATGCATAATCTTCTTGAATATACCAGTATTTTTCTGGATTAGAAAATAAATGAACTTTGTCATTTTTGTCTAACTCATGGAATCTATACAGTGATTTCAATTAGATCTTAGAAAAGTCTTTCAGTAGCACTGGTGTAAAAGGAGAATTCCCCAGATGGGCAGCACTTCTTCCAGTCACTTTGCACCGAAGCACACTGCTCATCAGTCCTGCCTAATGATGAAGCTGCTTCCTGAATGACACAACATAAATGTGGGACCATCCAGGACCTCCTTCATGGCCTTTCTCAAGATTCTGTTCTCTCAGGCCCACCTTCCTGGGTGTCCTCTGGTCTTTGAAAAGCCTGTCATTTTGCATGACAGTCCTTTGCTCCAGGTGCTAGAGATTGCTACTGACTAAGCCTCTCTGCTGCCACAGGTCTCCAAGTTGTGTAGATACAGAGTCACAGCTCTGGTAATTACTCATTTGACTGACGCTTGATTTGTTTTTGCCATGCTTTCTCAAATGCTAGGAAGGAAGAAACTACATCATTGCTCAGTTCACCAGAAGACAACAAGAATCAATGAGCAGTACATTTCCAAGTCACTTGCTTGGGAGTTTGAAAGTAACATGATTCAAATGTTTTTTAAATTTTCCCTTTAAAAGGTTAGAGAAAGTACAGCACACTGTTTTTACCACCATGGTATTCTTACCTCTTCTCCACTATATTGCTTCAAACAGTGCAAAAATCGGCATGTGTTAGAGAGCCAGAAGGAGACAGTTTCAAAATCATCACCTCTTTTCTGAAAGACAAAATAAGTCTAAATTTTCTTACCCTTAGGAAAAAAGGTAGGCAGACACAGAAGGCCCATTTCTTTCACGAACTATCATAAAGTACCACACCAGTAAAGCACACGTTAGTTTACATCATTGTCAGCAGAATTCAACCAAGTCCCCTGGTAGAAAACGTTACTGTTCTTCAGACAAGTATTCCCACTCAGCTAACTTAGCTGCCTCTTTGTGCAGAAAAAGGTTCAGTTCACAGTGAACCCAGACTGACTCACATTGTTGGGATTAATGAAAGAAATCAAAAAGAGCTAGAGGCACAAAGGATATAGTAAGTTCTATAATGAAGAACAGGAAAAAGAGCTTGCCACCCTCAAATGAAGCTTGGATTAAAACTTTTGTCACAATGAACTTTGTGGGCAGTGACCCAGAGATGGAGGAAGTCCCACACTGAGTAGATAGGGAAGCTGGTTGGCTCTTAACCATCATGGGAGGAGTACAGGGAGAAGCAAAGTCTCATGCTTCAAAGAGATGGTGGCACTGGAAGTGTTTCTCAGAGGTCAAAGAGTAGGCACAGTGCATATGGCTATAAGTTTGTGCATGAACCTTTGATACTAGTTCAGACACAAAAAGTTACAGAATCATCAATGTTTATTTAATTTTGCATAAGAAACATTAAAATAGTTATTTGGGATAGATGCCTAGCATTAGAACATCTTAGAAGTTCTTTTTTAGAAATGGTACGAGGAGCTGGGTCTGTAACGTGTTTAGAGAACAAGCATGAGGACCCGAGATTGATCCCCAGCATGCATAGAAGACTGGGTGTAGTAACTTGTAGTCCCAGTACTGGGGAGGCAGATGGGAGACTCCCTGAGGCATACTTTAGTCAGCCTAGCCTAATCAGTGAGTCCCAGGTCCCAGTGAGAAGGTTATGCTATGAGGAATGGTTAATTTCTTACAGGATCATTTCTTTTAGATAATAAAATTTACATCCTTAAATATGCATAAAACACATTAAAAACCTTAAAATTTGGAGAATATTATTCTGAAATGACTTTAAGAAAGAAATCCTAGAAGATATTTTGTATTTTTAGCCAAATTTAGTATTTCTAGCTGAAACAGCAGAACTGAGTTCAGGCCTCAACTTTGAAAAAATCCTAGCTTTAAGAACATTGCCAGAATTATATCCAGGAGGTGGTGGCACACACTTTTAACCCTAGCATTTGGGAGGCAGAGGCAGGTAGATCTCTGTAAATTCAAGGTCAGCCTGGTCTACAAAAGAAGTTCCAGGACAGCCAGAGTTGTCACACAGAGATACTCCATCGCAAACCCCTCCAAAAAAACAGAATATTGCCAGAATTAAATAAAATGTTATAATAATTCCACACACAGACAATCATTATGTGGCTTGCATACAGGTTTGACTAAGAACTTTAACTCTTCCACAGATGTGGATTCTATCTGCTCCAATGGTGCTGCTGGCTGAGCTGGCAGAGAACACCTGTGTAGACGGGAAGGCAGCATTAGCCAAGGCTGTTCCATAGGACAGAGTCACTGGCTGTCTTTGCTGTGACTGAATAAGTCTAGCTGCAAAGTCTCAGCAGGGCCTAACAGAAATCCTGTAATTGGACCCACATTACCAGTACCCTTAGCATCACCAGAAAGCAAAACCAAGCAAACAAACAAAAACAACCAGACAAAAGCAGGTGATTAAAGAGAGGATTTCATGAACAAACAAATTAACTCCACTAAAACAGCTTCTTGCTATATGAACAAGATGGGTCTGCTCTGTCCTGTTAAAGTAAAACACTCTATGCTACTTACAAATACACATTTTGGGAACTTTATAATATTTAAAACCAAATCACACTTCTCTACTAGTTATCTCAAAACAATATTTTGATAATGAATAAACTGTACACCAAATTAGATATCGAATTAATGTCATTTTGACTTACAAAGAAAATTAGACAAGCTCAGAATTATTCTAAGTTTTCTTTTCTATTTATTAGGTAAAATTATCTGTGAGCTAAAACCTGTATGAATTATCAATATGCTTTAAAGCCTGTGTCAAAACACTGCTAAGATCAAACTAGGGATGCAGGGATGCAGGGCAAACACACTCGAGGCAATGCACATTAAAGCAGAATGCCAAGACTGTTATTATGCTGTGATAAACACTCTCCTAAAATCGTTAGCTAATATGGTGTGATGATTAGTCAAATTAGATGAATGTATCTTGCGATTAAGTTGAGAAAGGGGGAAGAGTTTTAAAAATCTGTATATGAGTTGACTTAAGAAATAGTAAACACATAGTCTGTTTGGCATCAATATGCCCCAAATTAAATGAGTTATATTTAGAAAAACATCATGAGTTTTAAAGAAGAGCCTTTAGAAATCCCACACTTTGGTAATCACTGTAGAACAGATGACAGAGAATAACTTCGCTACAGAAGTGGGGAAGCAGCACTTGTCAGAGGCCACAGCGCTGGGAGCCGGAGGCATGGGGAGCTGCTGTGGGATGGTGCAGTGTTATGATGGAGGATGAGATAGTCACAGAGAGACTGTGGCGATGGCTGAACAGCAGTGTCAGTATGTATTAACACTTATAAAGAGCAAGACGTCAAAGTTTATGTTCCACATACTTTCCACTTTTTTTCCCTTTTATTGAAAATAGATCCCCTCCATAATATATTCTGATTACGGTTCCCCCTCCCTCTACTCTTCCTAGTTCCTCCCCAACCTCATCTCTCATCCAGATCCCAGCCCGTTCTGTCTCTTATTAGAAAACAGATTTCTAAGGAATAATAATAAAATAAGATTAAAAAAACCCAAAACTAACACATTGGAATTAGACAAAACAAACAAAAGGAAAAGAGCCTAAGAGAAGGCACAAGAAACAAAGACTCACTCGTTCGAACACTCAGGAGTCCCATGAAACACTAAAGTAGAAGCCATAATATGTCCTTAGAGGACTTGATGCAAACCCATGCAAGCCCTGTAAATGCTGCCTCAGTCTCTGAGTTCATAAGAGCTTTGTCATGTTAATTTAGAGGGCCTTGTTTTTTTGGTGTCCAACATCCTCTCTGGCTCTTATGTTCTTTCTGATTCCTCTTCTGCAGGGTTCCCTGAGCCCTGAGAGGAGGGATTTTATAAAAATTTAAAAGGCCAATTTAGATGCAAGAAATCTTCATCATTGATGCTCTGTTAAGCTGAACAATCAGAAGGCAAGGTGCCTGGATCACATCTTCATTCCTCACAGAAATACTGAGCTAAAAGTAAGTGTGTCTCTCTGGAGTCACTAGGAGGATTACATAAGGTAAGTAGTGACCACTAGGTTAATAGGCTGCTCCTCCATTGTTAATGCTACTGTCTTTCCCAAGCCTTTTTGTCTTTGACTAGCATCTCCATGTTGTCTTCATAGGGATTGTAGGTAACAAGACAATTTGTGGGATGAATTGGAGAACAGGGGAATTGAAGTTGAAAGAAAAAAATTAATGCCATAGCAGTCATCTTTTTTATTATAATAAACTACATATTACTGAACTTGACATTTATCTCAACATCAGCATCATATTCTACATGTATGGATCACATATTAACATGCATGTATACAATTGGGTTCCACTAACCATTTGAATATTTTATTTATTTATCATTGAGTCAGGGTCTTACAGTGTAGACTTGACTGGCCTGGAATTTACTTTGTAAGGGCAGGTTAACCTTGAACTCACAGGGATCCTCAAGATGTGTGTCACCATGCCTGTCTTCTGTTAAACATTTTAAATTTGTTTTCAATAAAATCTAAGGCAGACTATTGCTGTCACTTTGCTCCACAATTAAAATGCAATAAATGTCAAATTTATCTTAATTACTGTCCAATCTGAATCTGTTCTGAAAGAAGGCATATAAACTGTCATATTTACCACACGTCCCCAGCTAGTGGTGGCTTTTGAGAGGCTGTGGAATCCTTAGGAAATAAGGGTTAGCTTGAGGAAAAAGGGGCAGGCCTTGATGATTATAGTCCAGCCCCATATCTGAATTAATCTTTGCTTAGTGTTCCTCTGAGATGGGCTTATACCTCCTTAAGCTCTGAGTCCCTCAAAATTATTGTTCCTTCTTTACGTGCCCCTTTCAGCTACTGGGTCACAGTGATGAGAAAGTAGCTAGCACAGAAAGTTATATAGACTGCTTCCTACAAAAGCAGTTTGTGGTTAAGACTGAAAAGGGTTTGTAATTAGCAACTACCAAGTCTAAAGGAGAAACAATGCACAGACTGTCATCATTAACAACTGTGAGAACTGTGGAACATTGAACTGACCTTCAAGACTTTTTTGATGCTGTTAATTGTTGATGTCAGCAATGATCTTACTTTCTGATCATCGTTCAGGTAATCAGCATGTCGCACACACATAAATAAGATATATGCTGGTAACCCTGGAATCAAATTGACAGCCACACCACGTGGCTTCAATTCTGAATAAAGAAAAAGAAGAAAAAAATTATATAACCCTGAGAGTCTTTGTAAGGAATGTTTTGTGGGAGAGAAAAGCACAGTTGAGTAAGAGCTCAATCATTCAGGGCAAGTCATCAACACCCACAAACCCAGTATTTTAACAGCTTATTAGTGAAATTATTGACTATGGGCACATATCTATATGCAATTCATATATCCTTCCCTGACTTTCCCCTTGAAGTCCAGTCTTGTTTATCAACTGTCTTCCTACCGTCTCTGCTAAGGCACATCAAGTCAAGCCTCTCCCCATCTCCAGTTTCTCAGGTCACAAACTTCACCACTTTTAAAATTCCTTACTTTTCTCACCCCATCTACCCAATTTATTAATCTTGCTAGTGTGCTCTGAAAAATACAGTTAGAATCTAACTACTTCTACTGGCTACTTCGCAGTTGAGGGCATTATCACCTCTTTTAGGGGTGCTGGAATAATTTCACCCCCTATTCTCAGATCATTTCCAAGTATCTACAGCTATCTACTTAAGAAAATGCATGTTAGATCATGCCACTTTTGTTCTGAGAATTCTTCAGAGAGCTTCTTTGCTCACTTATAAAATTCCAAACCTGAATTGTGCTCCACATCACCTAGCCCTGTTCTTCCCCATGTTCAGCTCACTCTGCTCCAAACAACCCTTCTTGCTGTCTGCCGAACATTCCATGACTCCCACCCAGGACTCATGTCCTTACACCTTTTCTGTCTCTGATGTTCCTTCCTCAGAAGCACAACTTGTCCTTATTCTGTTTAGCCACTGTGCACAGAACACCCCATCGAAGAGTGTTTCATGACAATCTTATATGAAACTGTACACCTGTCTATACTCTCTATTCATCAGCCCCTGAAACGTCTTTGCTAAATGAAGATCATGTGGAAGCTGAAGCACTTCTGAGCCTATATATAGGACTAAGCTGAGCACCACGAAGCTGAGGAGTGCTAAATTAGTGTGACTGTCAACCCCATTGCTGTCACCATGGTAGTTGGAAGGAGAGAAAGGTAAAGGCTGAAGATTTCAGTTCACTACTACTCAGGGGTTCATGCATCCATTCCTTATTTTACTCCTTCATAATGCTTCTTAGAGGCTCACCCTCAAGGCCGTATGCCCCTCCCAAATGCCTCTTCCATTCCCTTTTCAATGCTCCCATCTTTTCCGTACTTTGCTGGATCTTTTTCCTTAATTATACTTTTTTCTTCCATATTATTTAATTGTTGTACTAAATACAGTAATTCATAAACATTTCTAGGGAAAGAAAACAAGAATTTAAAAACTTAAATGACTTACAACAGTGGCATCCAACTGTGGTTACACTTGGGAATCCCTGAGACATTCCCAGAATAGTACTAGATGTGGCCAAACTCTTTTCCATGGAAATTTCAATTTACTTAATTTGGGGCAGGGGGCTATCAACACTTTTTAAGAGTTTCCTAAGTGAGAATATGGCTCAGTATTTGTCTACTGTTCATGTGGCCCTGGGTTTGATTCCCTTCTCCCCTCAAACACAACGCCCACATAGTGTACACATGAAAGTACACATGGGCCTTAGTACTTGAGAGGAAGAGACTGGAGCACTGTGAATTCTAGGTTAGCTTTGGTTACATATCAAGTTTTAGGTCAGCCTGGGATGGATATATATATGATGAGATCTTGTCTCAAAACCAAACCAAAGCAAACTTCCTGAGTGATCTTAACATGAAGCCGGAACTGAGAGGCTTACAGCTGGATCCTAGACACAGGCTCTCCCACTTTGATAGTTAATTCTCAGTAAGGACTCTACCACAGCACTACAGTGCAGGATGAAATGATGACCCAGAAAACTCCAGAGCTGGACCTGCCAGTGGCTTACATCTATGGCCTTGGCTGCTCACAAAGTTGAAACTGGCGGTAACTTCTGGGAGTTTAAGATAAGCATGGCTACACCGGGACCACTGTCTCCAAAAAGAAATTTTAGAACTTATTTTTTAAAAAACATTTATTTGTTTTGTGCATGCCGTGTGAGGGCCTAAGACACAATATGTTTGTAGAAGTCAAAGGACAGCTTTCAGGACTCTGCTTTCTCTTTCCACCATAGGTGAAGGGACTCTGGCCAGCTCGAGCATGGCGGGCATGGCTCTGGCAGGCCTTGCCATTACTCCATTCCCTCTGCCTTGCTAAAAAAATGTTAGATTACACTCCTAAAGCTACTCACCAAGGTCTATTCCCTTATTTGGACACTTCCTCCTTCTGAGGCTGACCACCAAGGTCTAGCTATCAAAGTTTTGAAGCACAACAATCAAAAGCCCACTTTGGTTCACCTAATTAACACGCCCAATTAAAACTAAACACCTCAACCTAACACAGGGTTTCCTCTTTTACCGTTATAAACTGCCATTTTCCTATGTGCCAAATCTGTCTCCCCTTTATCCCTTTGGGACAAATATCCCTTCCTTGTCTCCCCTGTTCCCTTCCATTCTCCCTTGTCCTCTATCTCCCATTTGTCTCTTATTCCCTGCCCTCTCTCACTCTGGGGCAAATAAAGCTCCTTTACGCTGAGACCTTGTTCTTGAAGCTCCTGAGTGATACCAATCTTTTACAATGGGGGTCCTGGGAACGAAACCCAATCATCAGGCTTGACAGCAATCACCATTACCCACTGAGTCACCTTGCCAGTCAAGAAAATAATTTTAAAGACTATCAAATCAGTTTCAAACCCAGTGACTAGCCTTTCCAGCACTGGCCTGGCTGGAAGGAATCTTACCCATGTAGAAAACACTTGCCTAGAATGAGGTTCTTCACAAGCTTCTGCTCATCCTCCCTTTTGTACTCCAGCATTCCTTGGAAATCCTTCTCTTTCCGGGGAATATTGACTGGCCGGATAGGCTCATCAATGATCTGTCCTGGAGAGATGTTCTCCATCTGACCCACTTCAGGCGAAACAAAGTAAGGAGAGAGATATTGTCAGGTACAATGGCTGAGAGGGCTCCATGCTCTTATAAAATAAAGTGGACTCTGCAAGAACTGAAGCTCCTTATCACTGTTATTTAGTCCCCACTTTAAAATATTTTTCTCTGCTGAAACTGGGTAAATAGCAACATTAAAGGATAATTCTACTCCAACAGCCACAGAGGCTGATACATAAGGAGTAATATAAAAGGCTACCCAGAAACTGGCAAGGGTTATTGTTTGTTTTGTGTCAGATTTACTTTACAATAAGATCAAGTATCCACAGCACAACAAAAAAGTCCCCAGCACATGCAATTTAGCGTATTTGCTAATGAATCTTTACCAACCAAAAGTAGTTAAACATAGTCAAGCTTTTGCTTGCAGAATGGAAAAACAAGGTGGGAATGGCAGAACATGTCTGCAATCCCAGCACTTGGGAAAGAGTCAGGTGGATCAAGCATACAGGGTCAGCCTCAGCTATATAGCCAGTTTGAAGTCAGCCTCAGTTACATGAGATCCTGTCTTAAAAGCAAGTAAGCAAAAGAACAAATCTCTCAAACAGCAAAGAAACATTCTAAAGGGACAGCAGAGCACATGCTTGTTCTAAGAATCAAATATTTAGTCATTTAAAGCAAGAGCATTTATTTAAAATTTACCATTATCTCGAATTCAAACCACATCAAGATAGTTGATAAGACAGTGTTTATCAGCACAAACTGATGTAAAAATGCCTAAAATCAGATTTTTAAGGGCTTCCCTCATAAGGCTAACCTTTCTTCTGCTTATTTCGGTCATGTGTGAACAGATGATGTCTCCTTTGGAGAGCTACACAATAGGACACCACCCGGGAAGCACACACCAGGTCTTCCCCAGACACTGAACCTACAGATATCTTCTTGAATATCCTCTATCCCTTTGAGAAATAACTCTCCGTGAGAAATGTATTTTCATTGCTTATGAATCGCCCAGCCTGAGCAACACAGACAGACTGAGTCAGCAGTCGCTTTGTCTGGGGCTGCAGCACCGGCGTTCTTCTGGAACTGCAGCAATCTCTAGTTTCATGTTCTAGATTCTTACAGAAAAAGGAGAGCGATTCAAAAGAGTCTCTAAAAATTTGCCTTTTCTCTCAAAAGTACCATGAAGATCTTAATCTCAGGTTTAATCCAGTTGTCAGACAATTTCTTACAACTAGAAAATTCTGGCAAATCTGATCTAAAGCAGGGAAATCAGAAGGTTGAGGTTCTAGACCTACAACCCAACAGGCAGGGTATTAGGTATGTCACTGTAGTTTTGAGGATTTTGTTTGTTACTGGCTTCTAGAATACTTTCAGGTCTATTTTTTTTTTAAATGAAAGCCAAGATGTAACACCCACTCCTGAATTGGAACAGAGCACCATGTAGATCAGATTTTGAAAAGATTCTCTACTTAGCTCTATAATTTCTGCTAAAAATTATACATGTTGGCATTTTTTTAAAGTTTGCTTTTTAAAAAAAAGTGTCCTTAATTAAATATAGCCCACAGGAGTGGCAGGAGTCTTGCTATTTTAAATTAAAGCAAAAGATTTAAATATGTTTGAACACATTTAAAGAAAGACAAATAACTTTTGATTATTAGAAGACTCTGGTATAAAACACATGTGGAGAGGAAGAGAGAAGTGTCGGAAGAGCTTGTTATGTAGTACCTATTCCATTTTATCCTCTAGATATAAATCATTTAACTCAAAATATAAATTTCATTAAGAATAAATAAGTCTTTTCTTGTTTAACCCATGAGTTGCTAACATAAATGTTATTTTTTGCTTGGCTTTCAGGATAGTTTAACTGAAAAGTTAGATTACTAATTGACAATGGCCAAAAATGAATAACATTTTGGAATATTTTCAGTTACATTTCAATTACATTTCAAAGGTTGAGTTTACCTCACATTTAAAGAAAACTGATTTAAAATGTGTTTTATAAGCCATTAACAATGGCTTTTATATTTATTCACATTCACCAACGTTGGCAAAGAGCCTCTAGTTTACTGACCTCACTGGCCAATACCTTTAAAACAGGATTTTAACAGTAAATACTCTGCTGTCTTAGCATAATGTCCAGTTTCGCGTAGAAGGTTCTCTGAAAAGAAAAAAACCTAGACTTCTTAAGTATTGCCAATGAACATTATAGCTCATGTGTATATGGTAAGGGACAATGGTCTGTATTATGTCAATATATTTTAAATAAATGCTGATTGGCCAGTAGCCAGGCAGGAAGTATAGGTGTGACAACCAGTCAGGAAGTAGAGGCGGGTCAATGAGAACAGGAGAATTCTGGGAAGAAGGAAGTCCTAATCTGCAGTCCTGACCCAGCCACAGAAGAAGCAAGATGTGACTGCCTTGCAGAACAAGGTGCCGAGCCACGTGGCTAACATAGACAAGAATAATGGACTAATATAAGTTATAAGAGTTAATAAGAAGCCTGAGATACTAAGCCAATCAGTTTATGATTAATGTAGACCTCTGTGTGATTTCTTTGGGACTTAACGATTACAGAAACTGGGCAGGACAAAAACCCCAGACAACATGTATAGAGCTGGAGTTTCAGAAGATTTTCTTCTTATATTTGTATGTATGGTATGTGTGCATGTTCATGTGTATATTCATGCACCTGGATGCACATGTATGTATGTGGAGGCCTAAAGTTACATTGGGCATCTATTTCTACCTGATGCACTGAGGTGGGGGTCTTTTCCTGAACCCAAAGCTTGTTGTTTCAGCTTGTCTAGCTAGCATGCTTGTTCTGCAGATTCCTTATTTCTGTCTCTTTAAAACTAGGACTACAGGCAGCTGCCATGCCTGACAACTTCTTATGCAGGTTTTGGGCATCCAGTCCTCATAGTTTTATAGAAAGTGCTTTATATGCACAGGTGTTTCCCCAACTGCTACAGTTTTAAAACTTTTTTTTATTATTGTTTTTATTTTTAGAGACAGAGTTTCTCTGTCTAACAGCCCTGGCTATCCTAGAACTTGCTCTATAGATGAGGCTGGCCTCGAACTCACAGAGATCCACCTGCCTCTGCCTCCCAAGTGCTGGGGTTAAAGGTATGTGTGCCACCACCGCCCAGTAGTTTCAAAGTAATATATAAATTATGTGTAATACTAAAGGTCTTTAGGAAATATATAGCTATAAAGTAATCTTTCTGACATCTAAACAAACATTTCAATATCACATTAAAGAGAGTAATACCCTCTTCAAAGTTGACACCCATGGTACTATGCTCTATCATAGATCAGACATTGTGCTCCTTGTAACTATAAGAAACAAGAGGTGATTTTCATGCTCAGAATGTTCTTGGTCTACCATAGAAATGAGTAATTCAAACATTAAAATTGCTAAAAATATGGCAGTGAAAGACCACAGAAAGTATAAACCAAACACTGGAGGCAGGGTCATGTGGTCTATGGTGTGAAGAGGATGCTTCTGAGGATACACTATGTGCCTTTCATCCCAAGAATGAGCAGGGCTTGACCAGGACACGGGCAGTCGGACAGAACAGTTATGATATAGTGTGATAGAGTGAGAAAAAGCAAACACAGGGTTCACTGGGATAGATTCTCTTGAATATCTCAAGTGGTGGGGACTGTACCCTTTGTGTCATATGAAGATCATAAAGATGACAACTAGAGAATATGATAGATGTTAGGATGAACATATCACTGAGGACCAAAATGGTAAGAGTTTGCAAAGATTTAAAGGGAATTTCATCTTTGAAATTCTGTCTCTAGAATGCTTTGAGCAGTGATATGGTTTCAGGATGAACTGAGCATCTGCTTTGCTCTTCACAGCTAGGCCTCAAGCACCTGCAACCGTGTGCAGCATCTAAGAAGCATTCAATAAAACTTACTGAATGGACAAACTAAGCCACAAGACAAGACTAGTATGTTTATACTGAGTTTTTTTCTCAAGGAGCTTATCTATTTCACATAGAAATAATTATATTTTTAAAATTGCATTTCTTTATAATTATAATTCCTATATCCTGATTTACTTTCTTCTTTCTATTAGCTCACGAGCTCTTTAAGGATAGACTCTGGCACATTCCTTTTGTAGCTCCAGTGCTAACAAGAAGGTGTGTGTAGCGTTTACCATTACTATTGTTGGTGTGTCACCCACATTACCACACTCAGCTCTTACAAGCCACATTCGACAGATAACATCATCATTCCTAGTGAGAATGAGAAAACTGAGACACAGAGAGGTTCAGCAATCTGCAAATATTCTGAGACTAGGAAATAGAAGAGAGGATTTGAATCAAAGAAGTCGTCTCTAGAATCCTTGCTCTTAAGCACATGCTATACTGCAGTATCTGACATATCAGATGTTTGTTAGATGTTTGCTGAATGAATTTTCTCCCTTTGTAACTTACTGTTACATTACTATGAAAATTATCCCCACATGTAGAAGTAGAAATTTCCACTCCATAGAGGACAGGATTGTCAAAATTTTGGTTATTTCTCTAAAAATTCATCCGAGGGAGGTTAACACTAGCAATAGGAAATAAAATTTGACAAATACTGTAAAAATATGTTTAAGTACCTTCTAGTTCACCAATTTTTTTGGCAAAGACTTTCAGTTGTTTTTTCAGTTTCCGGACAGTTTTATCCTGTTTTTCAAGTTGTTCCATCAAATCCTAAGATCAAAATGAAAATTCTATCAGAAAGATCAAAACAGGCTTGGTACAGGCACAAAGGGAGCACAGACACAGTCCCGGCGACACACTGTTAGTTTGACATAAAAGCTGCAGAAGAGCTCACTGGTGGAGCCACCACCTGGCTCAAACTGGCAGACAAGGGAGGTGCAGCTACAGTGCCAGCAACTGAAACACAACTGCTCTAAGTTCCTTTACAGCGTGATGGAAGTCTTCCAGCAGACGCCTACAGGCAGCAACTCGTAGATACATTGTCACTTTTGAAGGGGGACTGAGCAAAACTGAGTCTTGATGAGTGCACAAAAGTTCTGTGGGAGACTTGAGGATGGCGGCACTTATGCAAAGACTGACACTCCATGTGTAAAGTACTGTTAGCATTTACCAGCTATAAACTTAGCCTTAAAGCTTAAGAAACATGAAGAAGTTTGGGGAAACTAAAAGTAAGTAAAGTCAGATGTTGTGGCACATACCTTTGGTTCCAGCACTCAGGAGGCAGAAGTGGGTGGATCTCTGGATTCAAGGCTAACTAGAGTTATAGAACAACACTCTGTCTCAAAAACCAAATCAAACAAAAAAATTAAGGAAAATGATAAAGAACCTTTGCTACATGGCATGAAGGTGCATGATTATAACTCAAGTACCTGGAATTCTGAGAGAGAATTCAAGGCCAGCCTGGGTTATGTAGTGAGAGTCATTGGGGGAAAAAAGCTGCCTCAAGATGGTTGCCCACACCTTTAATCCAAGCACTCAGGAGGCAGGTGGATCTCTGTGAGTTTGAAGCCAGCCTGGTCTACAGAATGAGTTCCAGGACAATCAGGGCTACAACACAGAAAATCTGTCTCAAAAAAAAAAATGAAAAAAAGAAACACCCAACTCTGCATGCCTAATGCAAAAAAAATGAGAGAAAGAAAACCTGAATATGTAAAGCAAAGGTAAGACATCTGTGACTGGTGGCTCTAATTAGTAAAGAATTCTCTCAAAGGGCAGGCAGTTATAAACTCAGCAACTCGGAGGAAAGTAGACAGCACCAGACTAAGAAAGCTTAGAAGGACCATGAGTCAGTGGAGATGACTGGTGCTTGTCACTAAGTTATAGAGAAGAACAACACTTGAAACACTAGCTCGTTCTCCAGCTTGTGCAAGAGTAGATTCGGAGCAGACTACTGATTCGAAGGGAATAGCTGCTAACATTTCCAGTGCTGGGTTATGCTTCCATCACACTGTAAGCCTGGGGTTAACAACAAACCAAACACACAGTGGACACAGGACACTGAAAGAGATGCCACACTGGCTGAAGAGAGTTGTGGAGGTTGAGGGAAGAGACTTTGTGAGGATTTTTGAAGAGACCTCCTGGGCAGCGGCAGGCAGCAGTGTGCTCTTCAGTTAGAGAAGGCTAGAAGTAGCAGAAGACAACGGAAAAGCATTGCGGTTTACATACAATCATCCTTTTGTAAAGTGAAATCCGATATGATTGATACTTCTTAGGGTCATCTGCATATAATTCCTCAAAATACTGAAAAAACAGGTACAATGGATATTTGTTTCTTGAGTCTTTGAGGGAATGCTACCTCTCAGCAAAATTAACTTAAGAAAACTTAAAAACACAGGTAATGAAACTATATCTACTCACAAGTTCCAATTTGCCACCTACCATTACCATGTTCTTTTTTTTTTTTTGTATAGCTGAGTCTCATATTTACAGATCTATTTTGCATGACCATTGAAAACAGGTGATGGCCAGAATGTTGTCATTCAGCAGGTCAATAGAACAGGAGACTGTGGTATCCAGAAAACTGAAATTTTAGTTCCCAGCCCTTTACTCCTTCCTTATTTGTGACTCCCAACCCTGCTCAGTCACCAGCAGAGCAGCAAGGGCAAGGAATGCAACAAAATAAAAAAGGCAGGAGTGCTGTTAGCAACCCACTACCATTTGGAACTGGTGGAGCTGGTGAGAGGCAGCATGAGGGAGGCTCGTAAGGCCTGTGCACTAGAGGAGAACGAAAGCCATTCCTATACATATTGTCATGTTGTGAGTATGTGTGTGGGGGGGCATGCAAGGCAAAACTTCAGAAGCACCAAGCCCAGACATACTGTTGCCTTAATATTCTGCCCAAGTGTATCCTAAAAAAATGCGTAAGTAAGACTAAGAAACTCTAAGTAGCCTGAGAAGGCATATCCTTCTGTACACTTGAGTTTGATAATATTCTTTGAATTAGCAGTCAGTGTAATGGTACAAGCAGCTGATCTGCAAAGAGTAGCCTAAAACTAATTAGTCTTCTATTTAGAGTATAGGGCTTGATCATTTCTACATTAGGTACAAAATCTGCCAAGAATATTACAGACAGGCTGTAAGGGCAACACTTGATTAACTCAGTGAACAAACTGAGAATCTACCACCAGAAACAAACCTATTTCACAGAGCATCTAACATTTTAAGACAATGATTCAGAAGCAAAGAATCTGTACACTGATCAATCAGTATTATTCCACACATTTGTCAATTTGTAATCATCAAAAGCATTGTTAGTTATTTAAGCAACAGAGTAAAACACAACTTTTAAAGAACACTTCGTGACTCAGAAGACTTCCCCACTGAGTGACAGGCTCAGTCATGCTGACAGAGCACAGACATCATCCTCACCCTCTGCCCCACATCCCTACCATGGAGCTTCATACATAAGACAGACTGGAAAGAAATTACTCCGATTTCTTCCTAATCTAGATAAAACATGGGTGAACATATGGTAGTAGAGACCTATCTGTGTTGTCAATTATCACTGATGGGAATAAGACCTTCAGCGAAACTCAAACACTTTTAGTACAGATCTTAAAAGGTTTTTTTCATGTCACTAAAGAACAGATTTTATGTAAAAATTATAATTATGATCTTTCAATGACTTTTTATGCAATAAATATATCTGTAAAATTTACATAGATTTAAAAATTTCAGATATATGATCAAAGTTATAATGTGATGGAGAAAGAAATACTGTAGAAAATAATTTTTTTCTTGACAAAATTTTTTTTAAAGGAATAAGAAAAAAGGAGAAGTCTTGGAGTTCATTTCACCATTCAGAATCTGGTAAGGGGAAAGGCAAAAGTGCCCTCTTTATTACTATTACTGCTTAAAAGAATAAAATGTGCCAAGCTCAGTACTAGTCCCTTCATCCTGTTTTAGAAGCTCCACCCAGTGTCAATCCTTAGCCCATGCATAGTTCAACCAAGAACCTTCCCTGGCTTGTCTGTTAGACAGGCAGGATGGCATCCTCACTGGATGCTTAGGATCAAAGGAAAATAATTTTTAGCCATGTCTTTCTGGTATTCAAAGACTAGCAAGTAGTAAGGAGACTTTGCTCCAAACACTGCAGGTTTTGAGAGGGCTCAATTGTCCAATAGACCGTTGTGAGAAACAGCTGGGTGCAATTTCATTATTTTGATTCATTTCTATCAACACATTCATATTTTCCTTTTTGTCTCTATTAGACTTACTGTATTTATTCCCAACAAGGAAAAGCTATGCTTGTTCAAAAAGAACATACAGCAGACCGGGACACTGCTACTCTCCTTACCAGGTTTTCATTGGTCAGTCGTGTGATCTCATGCTGCAGGCTGGCTTCAATGCGAGCCTCAGGGGGCAGCTGCAGGTTCTGGGCCAGTAGCTGCTGTTGCCGGTTGTTTTCTTCCTTTAGGCTCTGGATTTCCCCACGGAGGGCCTCGGCCTCATTCTCATGGCTCCTCTTCTGCGACTGTAGCTGGGATTCCAAGAGCCTGCAGAGAGGCCACACACACACAAGTTTGTAGAGGACAGGACACCCTTAAAGGGTGTGAAGCTACAAGTTCCTTTGCACGAATACTCTCTAGCATCTGTGCAACTCCCGACTCCAGTAATGTCATGAAACTCAAATGCCGAAAATGGGAATCGATGTGCCACATCTGCATCTTTTTGAATTGTATGAAGTTCTCCTTATTTAAGTTGGCAAAGACAGCATCATTGCCATAAATAGACAGATAAATATATAGTTGCATTGTAAAAGGCAAGAATACATACACATTCCCAATCTATTGAAAAAGACCTTTAAAAAGGCACAGCCATTGATTTCAGGCAAAGGTGGAACCAAGATCATGTTTTTAATATTGTCCACTTATCCAAAAACAGACAGGCTGGTGCACTACTTGGAGATCCATAGATTTATCCAAACAGAATCTAGTAGTTCTGCAATTGTGTGTGTGTGTGTGGGTGGGTGTGTGTGTATAGACAGAACTGTCATCTCTCTCCCCATGAGATTACATACCTAACAGAATCCTAACAAGATATTGCTTTTGGACAAAATTATAGTCGAGCAGTAACTAATATGAAGAGAAAGACACTTAATCCTGATTTCTTTTGTCATCAACTGCTGAGTAAAATTCACCGATGCCATTGTGAGCAAACTATTAACAGCAGACTAAAATATCTTAGCAAGTTTCAAGAAAGCTAACCAACAAAACATGGCAGTTAATACTGATGGTTACAGTTAGAACAAAGCAGAACAAGCATAGTCCATTTAGCAGTGCAAGGATTTAAAATTATAATCATTATAATGGAATTTTTGTGAGATTTTTAAGACACAGACAGCATTAGGGCAGATGAATGTGTTAGAGAAAGACACAGTGAATTCTATTTTTTTTTTCCCCTTGGAAGTGAATTGCTGAGCTCAGACAGTTATCCTTATTTGACTTTGAATCTCATAACAGAGAATGCTGAATCAGGTACTTGACAACACTTTTAGGCAGCATCACAATAATGAGGAAAGTGGTCACATTTGTTACAGGACTGTGTATCCCAGATTGATATTTATTACAGATAAGTTACTGTCCAGGTAACAAGTATTAGTGGCCATGCTCCAATAACTGCTTCAGTTTGAAGTCTGTTTTCCTCAAGTCCTAGAGAGATTCACAATTTTTTGATCTTCACTCCTGACAGCATTGTGGTATACATGAAGCAATTTGTATTCACCTATAATCAACGTTAGCCTTAATAGTATCTGTTAGTAGAAACAATTTTAAAGTAGGTATTTGGCTGTAGATTCTAAGTTTTATTGAGACTAATTGTCTCAGGAAGATAGTAAATGCACAAGACACACAGTAGTCAAAGTTGTGAGTCACTGTTAGTAAGAAAAACAAGTTAATAACATTCCATTCTGAGGAGACAGATATAACCTGTTGGCTTGTTTTAACCCTTCATAAACCAGCCAGAGCTCTCCATCCTCATTCAACTCCTGGTAATTCATAGTAGATGATCTTCCAGGTAAAAGAACACAATGCAAAACACAAAGGGACACAGGATGGAAATGAGATGATGGTGGTCAAGAAAAGCACATGATATTTCAGTATCTACTAAGTGGACAGGATCATTTTTGGTAATTACAAATGACTTTACATTATCACAAAATTACTTCAGTTAATTAAAAAATGTGTAAGAAGTTATATCACAGATAAATGAAGAAACGAAATGACCAGAAGATGAGACATTCAATTTCTAATGTTTTATGAGGCTAGCTATATGATCTTACACATCAAGCATTTCATTAAGGCTAACCATAACACATGCATAAAATGAAAATTCTAGGTATATCTTCATGTGGCAATTTTCATAATCTATTTCAAAATGAATTTTCAGTTTTCCTGATATGAATTTATTTCAGCATAATCTTATTCCCCATGTAGAGTTTTATAAAAATTATTGTACAAATAATTTAAGAATGTATCCAAAGTTCTTAGTTTTTGATATAATTTTAAATTTTGGGGTAAAATTAAATTTAAGATCTGGAGAAACTGCCTTTATATCAGAGGTATATTTATTGTCTCTTAGTAAAATCTGTAGTTTATAGACAACATTTAGTTGGTAACAGTTTTCCTACCAAGGGCGTAAATAATATATTTTGAGGATTTGTTAAGCGTCAGATGCTGTTCTTCATTCTTTCACTACCTCGTCTGTTCTTTCCAACACCCATGTTGAATTAACAGCTGGTAAGAAGCATCTGAGTCCAGTGCCATGTGATTTCAGAGGACAGGTTCTTAATCTTGATACACTTTTGTTGCTATGTTTACACAACATGAATCTGAGTGAATTCTATTTTCAATCTACCATTTCTCTGTCTCTAAAGTTATCTATTTTTGAGGTTTCAATTATTTTATTGTATTCTTATGACTTCAAAATTTATATCTCAGGCCACGTGTTCTTGATTATAGATCTATTATATATAACTCTATGGCTTAGTAGAATTTCTCTCCCTGAATGTCTTCTTGTCTGCTAAAATTCAGTGTGTGTAAATCCACTCATCACTCCACCCTGGTTTCATAATCATGAAATGGCATCAGCACATCCACCTGAGTCCCCACAGCAGAAAGTGCAAGCTTCCCTAAACCCTCTCACACACCCAACATTCCACAGGGTTTACCTCATCTTCACTCATATCTTTCCAAATTTCCCGCTTCTTTCAATCCTAACTGTCATCAACCAACCTTGAGTCACCATGCTCAGTCACTGGACTACAGCAAAGTCTCTTAACTGGTTTTGTGCTTTCAATCTGGTTCCATTACAATTATTCTTCTTCTTAAAACACTTCAATTCTTTCTAATATCTTTAGACTAAAATGCAAACATTCTCAGTCCTTTATCTAAGGAGCCTATCACCTCTGTGGGAAGGGATGGCATTTACTTGTCTTCTGCTGTATCCCACAATGTAACATAGTGCTGGCATGGGGTAGAAACATTCCAGACCTAGTGACTGAATAGCTGAGTGGATGCATAGACAGCATATACCCTTTCTATAACAAGATATTCTGTTTTGTTTTGTTTTGAGACACGGTTTTTCTCTGTTGCCTTGGCTGTCCTGGAACTCACTATGTAGAATGGGCTGGACTTGAACTCACAGAGATCCACCTGCCTCTGCTTCCTGAGTTTTAGGATTAAAGACATGTGCCACCACAGCCAGGCTAATAAGATATTCTTAAATATAAAAGATCACAATTAATTCATAAATTAAATTTTCATTTAACTAAATACCTTTGAAAAGGTACCTTTGTACTGTTGCCAATAAATAAAGAAGTAACTTATGTTTTGTAAGGCATATATATTTAATTTGTGGGTATTTATGCAAGTCAATCCTGGAACTGTGTTATCAAGATACCTAGGAGACTCCTGAACTGTCTTTTACCATTGGTCATGCCCTCTCAAAATAGTCCAGTGTGTAATTTTTTTCTGTTTAAAGTACAATGATACTAAATCTCTGTTCAGAAATGAGGTTGGCAGTAAGGCTGCCATTCTCAAAGTTGTGGCAGCCTTCTAGAGCTACATGGCTACCACTGATGGAATTCTAGGCACATACATCTTAACTTTTCTTCACGCTACATTTCAGTTATTGAACACTGTAGTTGCCTCTACAAACATTCAAATAGCCATCTTGAACAACACCCTTACTAGAAAAGGATCTACTAGGACAGTCCAAACTCAGCAATAGGTTTTCTTCTTCAGGCAGCTTAAGGCCAAGGCCCTTGATATAAACATATCTTCTCATAATGTGAATAACATTTCCTTTGACACCAATCATCAACAATTATCTGATATTATGAATGGGATGTTAAGTTGGTTTACATCAGAAACCTTAGGTTCTTCTTGAAGATTGGCTGATGTCTAATAAAACAATGAATTAGCACACTGACTTCCTCAACAAGAGGCTGACTTGAAGACTCAGATTAATACAGTTAAACCAAGGTGGATGAAAGGATCAACTTACCTGTTTGTTTCTTTCAAACCAATATATGCTTGTGCTATTTCACCTTTGTCTTTCATTTTCTGTACATCTTCCAAAAGTATTGTGGAATCTGTCATTGTATTCTGAAGGGAGAAATGACACAAACCCACATGAAGGCTCAACTCTATAACTGTGGATCACATATAACATATTCTTTTCATTTCAGGGCTTAGTGGGTAAGGGCACTTGCCACTTAGCCTGATAACCTGAGTTCAATCTCTGAAATCCATATGGTGGAAATAATCTACTTCCATAAGTTATCAACTGACATTCATGTGTATGCTTATACAGACACATGCACACTTTCTCTTTCTTTTTTTATGCACGTGTATGCATATAACACTCCAAAAACACTAAACCAAATTACTAACATATTGTCTCTAAAGAATAATAACTTTAGCACACTAAAAGGGTCATTCTCTTTGTCTGAAAATATGTCTGATCTTTCAATCAATGTTTGCTCTAAGCTAGGTGTGGTGGCTCATGCCCAGGCTGTCCTTAAACTTTCTAGGTATCTGAGGATGACCTTGAACTTCTGGTCTTTTTGCCCCATTTTCCTGAGTGCTGGCATCACTGGTATGTACCACCGAGTCAGCACAGTTTATGGAGTGTTGCAGATCAAACCTAGAGCCCTGTATATGTTAGGTAAGCATTTAACCAGTTGAGCTACACTCTGGTCCCAAATAAACATTTCTTTAGCTTTATTTTATAAAGAGTATATATTTTCTAATTTAATTTTTTCTTTCCCTGAAAGAAAAACTCTATTTCATATTCTCATTTTTTAAGCCCTACAAATATAATTCACAATGGCTCAAGTTTTTATATCAAATAACGATACACTGTGCTTGACATCTTAGGACTTTTCTGGAGTGTTTTTAAAATTCTGATAAATTAGGTCACTTGATCTATTCAGCTAGTATGAGTACAGGGAAAGATGAGTGACTCCATTCGCTGATGTCCTGGGGAATGAGTAGCTGGTTCTTTCTTAATTCTGCCTGTCTTGGCTAGAATATGGTATTTGGGAGACGGAGTTAGATTCACACTTTAGCACTGAGAAGTTTTTGACTCGCTGCTCTGTGTGTTTCCCACATGCAATGGCTTCAAGTCCTGAGAAGGTTGCATGATACATGAAGCCCCGCTGTACTGCTCAACAGTAACCAAGAGAGTAGAGAGATTCAACTCTGCGCCTTCACAGGAGCTATTTCATTCCAGCTATGGGTGTTGCCCTTAGGGAGGGAAAAGTAGCAGTAAAGAATTCCTGCTCAGCTCTTCCATTTCTCTTCAACCTTGTTAGATTTGGTACGATGTGTGCCCAGGACAATTGTCTCCAAGTGAAGGGTTTTTCCTCCCCAACTTGTGTATGACACCAGAATTACAGCAGCAAGTCACAGAGATGACTGTGAGTTAGAAGTCCTGGAGATCCATCTGACATCCAGATTGGAAGCTACTATAACCACACTTTCTCCTAGTGACTTCATATAGGAAGAAGTCAAACAGGAAATTAGTAAGTAAAAAGGAAGCGGGGCATGGCAGCTTATACATGTACTCAGAACACTCAGGAAGTGAAGGCAGGATAACCAGGAGTTCAAAGACATCCTCAACGATACAGTGAGTTTGAGGCTAACGTAGGCTATATGAGATCTTAAGGCAAAAAGGCAGAGAGGGCTGCAGAGATGTATCAGCACTTAAGAGTGTTTGATTCTCAATCATGAGGACCTGAGTTCAGATCTCAGCACCCATGTAAAAAGCTAGACATTCCACACATGTCTGCAACCCAAGTTCTGAGGGGATGGAGCCAGGGCATTGCTTGGCTTATTGGCTTCTAGCCTCGGTGAGGAAATGAAAGGTCCAGGTTAGAGAGAATCACTACCTCAGAGGAATAGATGGAGAATGATAGAAGAGGACACACACTGCCCTATTCTGGCATTCATTTCCACATACTCACACAGACACAAATAATAAACAAATAAATCTTAAAAAAACAACATAAAATAAAACAGACCTGGTCACAAAGCACGAACTACATAAATTGAAAAGACCTGCAAGTCAATGTTAGGATTAAACAGAAGTACTTATTATATTAAAAATATATACAATTACCTTGTCATCCTGAAAAATCACATGTTGGCAAGCACAAAAAAAATGTAGAAACAATAAATCTTTAGCTTCATGAATAGATACTTTCACTGAATTAACAAGAATTAATTTAAAAGCTGTGAGTTGTTTCTTCTAAAACTAACTCTAACATATTAGCATTCACAAAACTGTCATAAGGCTGACATTAATATATGTGTAGGAGATAGAAGCTCCTTTTTTTTCCTTTTAATTTTTTATTTTTTGAGACCAGGTTTCTCTATGTATCTTTGACTGTTCTGAAACTCGCTCTGTAGATCAGAACTAATAGGTCTCGAACTCACAAAGATCTATCTGTCTCTGCCTCCCTAATGCTGGGATTAAAGGCGCCACCACCACCTGGCTGGAACTCATATTTCTAATGCTTAAGTTCTTTTCTGAGTTGTTTTAAAATATTCCTGGCTGTAAAATGCTTGGGTGTATGAAAGAATGATTCTGCTGTTGATTTATCTGGGTGAGATTTCATACTAGGTCTTTTAAGAGTTCAAGTAGTGGCCTTTGGGAGGGTAATCGTCCAGGAAAAGTCTCTCAGAGCTCTTTGGAGGTAGAATAGACAAACAAGAGCTGGTTGGGATGACTCACACCCTAGCTCACTGTGTGCTGTTCATCATTGGCTTAATAATAAGAAATTGAGGAACCCAGAATTACAAAAGGCACTGGGTGTCTGGAAGGTTTCAATATACTGCAGATTCCTCCAGAACAGACAAGGCGTGTTACAAAGAGACTGGGAGCTGAGCAAGCAAGGACTGTGTAGAGATAGAGCCAGCCCACTATTACAGAACAGTTGTCACATGAACTTTGTGAACTTAATAAGATGGCAGGTATGTTACCAAACTATGTGTTCTATTAGTGAGGTTGTATTTATGACCTTTACTTCGTTTTTATTTTCCAATCTTTTAATTCCCACTAAAGTTTCTTATGAGACTATTCAATGTACTTCACAAATACACACACACACACACACACACACACACACACATACACACAATTATCTATAAATTTAAAAAGAAAAAGAGAGACTACCCGTTTGCTGAGAGAGAAGAGAATACTGACTTCATCTTTGTCCAGGAGGCATACAGGGCTTTCTTTCTCAAGGCTAGTCTGTTAAAGCCTTAGAACCAGATGAGACTGAGCCAAGAAAGGTAACAGTGTAGAACGCTTTCTGTTGACTTCATGAACACAGCCCTTCCTACCTTCTCCCTATTAAAGGGAACTCCTGGGTGATGTGGAATTCCCCTCTGTATGCTGTGAATATATTTTATTACCATTGATTAATAAAGAAGTTGCTTTGGCCTATGGCAGGGCAGAATAGGGCTAGGCAGAAAAACTAAAGAGAAAGAAGGCAGAGTCAGGGAGATGGCACGTAGCTGCCAAAGGAGAAAAATGCCAGAACCTTACCAGTAGGCCACAGTCTTGTAGTGATACACAGATTAATAGAAATGGGTTAATTTAAGATGTAAGAGCTAGTTAGAAATATGCCTAAGACATTGGCCAAACAGTGTTGTAATTAATATAGTTTTTGTTTGATTATTTGGGTCTAAGCAGCCGGGAAAGGAGCGCACAGTCTCTGTTTACACCTGGGAGTGTAATTTCTATGAACTGATTTCATTTCTAACCATTTTGTTACATTTCTACTTATGCAGGCCAATTTTGACAAGTAATTTTAGCTAGACTTAATGCTTCTTTGTACCAAAATAACTTGCATATTATCATATTTAATATTCAAGGTGTCAGTCAACCAGAAGGAAAACTCTCTGATGAGAAAACTCATTAGACCAGGTCACAAGGCTACAGACTCCAGAATATCTTTTGCTTCTATCTATAACTTCACAATTGCTACTGCAAATTTCCCTATCCATATCATATCATATCGTATCATACCAAATATCATAGTATATCATAGTGTGCTTATCTCATGAATACATCCTAATCTTCTGGGCATTTTCATCTGTCAACTGTCAAGATGACCCCTCCTGAAGCTGTATTATCTAACTGATATTAATAATGTAAGCTTCTACAGAGTTTTGACGAATAAACATGAATACAAAAAAATACTACACAGTCAAGGCCTATGAATTTCTCCCTAGGAGATGTTTTAGATTTCAGCTCAGGCTGATGATTATGAAAACAGATGAATTTGCCCCAGTTGCCAGGAAAGCTGAGTTTCATTAGCTGATATAAAACTTCAAAGTAGCTTTAGATTAGACCAGATGCCTTGCTAATTGTTTTTAAGATAAATTATTACAAGAAAAGCAATCTTATTTACAAGGACATATGGCCAACTGTCTGATTTGTTGAGCCAGGATCAAAAGTGCAAAGCAACCTAATGGCTACACACACTTTATTTGCTGGGTATGACTGATAACCTAGAACAATAATTAATTACAGCTTTTGTTCAGAAACACCACGGGAAGGGAAGTTCTGGCTGCTCAGGGCTACAAAAAATAATTTACTTCATAGCCCTGAGAAAGAGTTACAAGTTTTCTCTATTATGGTCTAAAGTTATACACGGGACAGTAAATATATTTTAAGATTTAAAATGCTTTCAGTGTCCTATACCTTGGAGAGTGGCTATTGAGCTGGTATTAAAAGACTTATGGTAATCCTGAGCCTGAACCAAAGAACTGACAACACACCTCTATCTTCTAAACAGGGCACTCTCTGAGAAAGTCTGGCTTTTACTATTACTGTCGCAGATTGTTAGTTCAAAATGTTTATACACGCAGAAGTGTGGGTTACAGTACATAATTACCTTATTTTCTTAGGCTCTTCAGTAGTTTAAGGTTTATAACTCCTTTAAAATCTTTTATAAGACGACCTCTCTAGATAGATAACAAAATGACCGATTCTTTCTTTGCTGCTGCAAGTTACAGTCCACCAATTATGTAACTAAGAAAAAATGCTCCTTCCTTGCTCTGTGACAAGTTGTTTAGATTTATTGTGTGTCAGTTGTTGAGATGACTCTGTTTTTATCATCTACTTAAGAAATAGATTATAATTTTCAAATATAACTCCTGTATTGCTTGAAAGATCTTGTTGGGTATATATAGCCATGGAGAACAAACAAAGAGGAACATCATGAGAGGAACAACAGCATGAGAGAACTAAAAAAATGAAACCATCAAGTGAGTGCTTGAGTGTCTTTCTTCCCTAAGTCCTTCAGATAAAAAAGTCTTAGTATACATGCCGACACCATGGATTTCTTTCAAATCCTGGGTGATCTAGGAGCTGGTTCTCTTTAGAATGTGATATTCTTTGTGGGAAACAAAATTTTGAAAGACACCTGGGAACCCAGTGGCTTTTTGCAACTACTCTTAAGTGTTTGTTTCATTACAAACTGGAGGAAATGAAAGCCAGTCACCATGCTTCGTACTCAACATATATGCATGCTTACCTTGGGTTGGATGGCTTCTTTCTGGCTCACCAGCTGAGACCGCAGGATGAGAACTTCTTCCTTTCGGACATCGAGCTCCTCACTCACAGAGGTCAGCTGTTCCATGAGGACGCGGTAGGCAGGAGCACCCGGTGCAGTCACTTCTGGAGCACTTTTCTCACTGAGGGCTTTGCGTAACTCGTTCAGCTCATTTTTCAGTTTTTTGTTTTCTGATTCCAGTTCTTGACGCTAAATGAAAAGACAGACAAGATTACTATGGTAGTTTGAATAAAAATGGCCCCACAAGCCCATAGGGACTGGCATTATTGGGAGGTGCAGTTGTGCTGGAGTAGGAGTGGCCTTGTTAGAGGAAATATGTCAATAGGGGTGGGCTTTGAGGTCTCAGATACTCAAGCATAGTCAGTGTGTCATAATCTTTTTCTGTTGTCTTCATATCTAGATGTAGAACTCTCAGCTACCTCTCCAGAACCATGTATGCCTACACGCCACCATCCTTCCCACCATGATGACAATGAACCAAATTTCTGAACTGTAAATTAGCCCCAATTAAATGTTTTCCTTTATAAGAGCAGTCATTGTCATGGTGTCTCTTCACAGCAATAAAAACCCCAACTAAGATATTTACTGCTGTCATTTTCATCTTTACATTGGAAAACTAAACCTCTCCTAAGTGATGGAATAATTTTAATAGAAAGGACATCAATCTCTACTCTTAGGAATAGTACCCCAGATTAGGTAAGTGTGACATTAGTGGAACTGAGCAGTGTAAATTATAGTTTGCACTACCAACTCCAATTCCAGAGGCAAAATTTACTCTGACCTGCTCAGGGAATACTCTGAGACGCAGACTGTGGAGTCCTAATCCTGGGAAACCCAGGTTTTGTTTGCAGGTAAATGCAAAGCCATGCAGGTAAAGGGTAAAACAAAGCATGACCAAAACTGGTCAGGATATTCCCAATGACTGGGTCATTTAGGCAGACCCCTGAAATTTTCAATAGTGCTCTCTTTCAATCCCGGTAATCAGTTTTGCACCCCTCATTTCAGGGGCAGAAGCCAAGACAATGTCTTTATTTTGATACTGAGGCTCTGACACAATGTGTCCCAAACTTTAACATGCATCACAGCCATTTGGAGTTCCTGTTGAAACACATATTTCTAAGCCCCAAATTACAAGATCCTGACTTTATGTCTAATGGCGTGAGGTCTGAGAATTCTGTACTTCCAACAAGGAACCAGGCAGTGTTGATTATATTAATAGAGGGCCAGACTTCAGGAACCACTCAGCAAAGCTGTGTTAATCTGGGCTTCACTCATACTACGGAAAACACTTTTATTTACCTACGTTTACGTGAGGCAGGGATGTTTTAGAGAGCAGACTGCTACCCTGTGCTTTTAGTCTGCTCCTCAGCCTCAGTTAGATTTTTATGGTGGAGAAGAGAAGGAGCTTGACTCTAGAGTTCATAATCTTTACTACTGTAGCTTGCAGGGCTGCTATCTCCTGTTCAGAGTGAAGTCCTACTTAGATGAAATGGTTTGTAAAATGAAAGAACAGAGGCTAGAACTAGTGCCCAGATACGATTTAGCTAAGGATGTTCTCAGAGGAAAAGATAAGTTCTTAGCAGCTCTCTTGTCAAAACAAAGTATTGAAAGTTTTGGGATGAAATTTTCAATACCTTGAGGGACTCATATTCCAGTTCTGCACCTCTAATTGGTGGTCTTTCTTCTTCCTGGGGAGAAAAATAAAGTAAAATTTTTGTATTTTAATTGTCAAATTTTTACTATTAGAACACTTAGCTGTGTACAAAAAGCAGTGACGTATCAAAGCCTTCACAGCGTCAGCAAGTGCTGCATAGCTAAGAACTCAGGGGCTACAGAAAGACACAGGACAACCTGCCTGGGCTGCCCTCGGCCCTGGAACAGGCCATTGCTGCTCACCTTTGCCTTGCTGCGGAACATTTGCTCTTCCTTTCGGTCCAGCTCATCCTGCATTATTTGCTTCTCCTGTTCCAGCTCTGTGACACGCTTCTGGAGCTTAAGGAACAATGACATGTCTAGAGGCACCTTCTTCTCACTTGGCTCCTAAAACCCAGAGATCATAAGAATCAAGTCAAAGCCAGAGGACTTACAAGCCAAAGTGAAAACAGTTCAGTAGTAAAACAGTCAAACTCACAGCAGAAATGTAGAACAAAACAGAAAACATGTTCATCCTACATTTCTAATAATTGTAGAAATGTAAGTTAAATAATAGTGAGGCATTACTTCTCTCTTACCTGACTGGAAGATAACCCAAAGGTGGCATTTCAAAATTAATAATGTCCTATATTAGCAACTGTGTCTCATACTAAATTGGTGGTGGAATATATAAATAAGCCTGTGGAAAACTGTGTGCATTTATTAAAGTGTAGGTGTATATCCATACCCACCCACGCAAATCTGTTTAAGAATTAAGTGTACACGGCTGGGAGATGACTCAGCAAGCAAAGGCGCTTGCTCTAATTGTTTTCCAGTTATCTCTCTAACTGTAGAGCAAGGTAAACCCCCAGTTTAGTCATTGTCTTCCTGCTGGGCAATGAGATGATTTCTAATTTCTGAAATACACATCCAAGAACACAATATCTGAAGATAACACTTGGCAGTCTGGTGGACTGGGGCAACTTCTACTTACATCAACAACTACAATCATTCCTGGGATAATAGTCACTGCTATAAAGCTACAAAAAAGTTTGCATCTCAGTTGATTGCCCAAAAGTGGCATTTCAATGCTGTTTTAGATTTTATTCTTTGGCTTTTCATAAGGTTAAATGGTACATGTATGGAGGTCACAGAACAACTTGCAGGAATTGGTTCTCTTCTTCCAGAATAGGTTCTGGGGCTTGAACTCAGGTCATTAGGCTTGTACATTAAGTACTTTACCCAATGAACTATTGTGTTGGCCCACCAATAACACCTACAAATATTTAAATGTTTCATTCAAATACCTTAGTATCTGTTCATTTATTAGTGATGCATACATTCCTGAAACTTTAACTTTCAAAAACTGCAACAGAATCCTCCATTCTATAAACAAACATAGATAGTACTTCACTCTTGATATTTAAAATGTTATTAACTGGAAATCATCCCTTTAGGCTTTGAATGAACATTTAAAAAGGAATCGTATTAAAATAGGATGGGGTAATTTTCAGTTATCAATTAATGCTATATACAGAATTCACTGATTGCGAGGTGAAAACAAACTTCTACAGATAGGAATATGAGAATAGGAAAAGGTAGGACACAAAAAAATAACAGTTGCTAAATACAAAATAACTAGAGATGTAATGAATGGTGATCACTTCAGAGTGCTCAGATGATGTCCTTAGTCCTAGTGGCATATTTATTTATAGCAAGGTCATTTGACATTTCTGGACCACATGAGAAAGGAAGAGGAGTGGACTATCAGGATGAGAGGAGTTGTGGGGTCTTATTTTCCTTCCCTTTTTTAGTAAGAACTTTGTCACCCAAGCCTTTACTGAGTAAGTGAAGCTTTGATATTTACTTTAAAAATAATAGTAGTCTTACAACTGATGAAAAGATAATAGAATTAATTAATAAAATTACCACCACTGGTTTGAATTTAATTTTGAAATTATCCTACTTCAGTTGAGAAAGTTGTGGTGGCCCTTTTCCCAGGATGGAAGCTGTGAGAAAGCTCAGGAATAAAGCAGGACTCCAACAGCCTATAGAATCAGGGAAAAGCAATCGTTTCAAACCAACACACAGCGGCCCCATAGCTGCTGTGAAAGCTCCAGGGCAGGTGCAGCCAAAGCTGAGTTGCTGCAGAAACTGCTTGCACACAACCGTGATGGAGACAGCAAAGAAACTACTGCTACAAAACTTAACACTGAAAGTGTAATGTGGGACTCGGGATGCTGCTCAGTGACAGAGCAAATGCTTGTCACATATAAAGTTCTCGGTTCAATTCTACCACCAAAACAAACAAAAAATTAGTATATACATTGTGAAACCATGTATAAGCCAATTATTAGAAATGTTGCCTATCAAAAGAACCATGTACATGTTACTTTTAGTGACAGATAAATGTACCTCTGTTCTTGGTGCAATGTCTTCAGTTTCTGCAAATTCAGAGCTGAAGGTGTATTCAGACTCATTACTGCTGTGGGTAGAGTCTGTTCTCTTGTGTCCTGGCTTAGGCACATTCTGTGAGGTAAATAACCCAAATACAATTCATTTAATATAATAGAACTATACACATTGGAAACAGCATCCACAATGTCTTCATTGCAGTCTCTACTCAGTAATTTGCACTGATGGTCAAATGTTCAACAGTTTTGACCAAATTCTTACAAGGGGATGATCTCCCCAATGAGAAGGCATGACAGCATGGTAAGAACTGTTATGAAACTAAATGGTCAAAAGCAGAACACCTGTGACTATTAGCAGAGTCTCCAGGGTCTCATGTAGAACAGTTTAACTTTGAACTCACTATGTAGCTAATGATGACTTAGAATTTATGAGCCTCCTGCCTCCACCTCCTGAGGACTGGATTACAGGCATGAGCTACCACACCCTATTTATGAGTTCTGAGAATGGTACACAGGCCTTTAGATCCATGCTAAGCAAGGGCTCTATCAACAGGGCTTCTTCAAGGCTCTCTTTGTTGCTTTTTTTTTAAGTTTTGAGTTACTCAGTCAGTTCAAGCAATGCTTTTAGTGTTGATAAAAGTTACCAGAAAATTCATAAAATACACTGAATGACAGACATAACCATCCATTACATGGCAATAAAGTATAAGCGGTTAAAAAATAAGTAGAAGTTAAATATGTGACTGTAATTTCTGCCACTTTTACACATGACAACTCTGTGGGATAAGCAGTGAGAATGAGACAGTACAAAGCAGGTAAGCTAGATGCTTGCAGAATTCACTGAAGATCCCTGGGCCTGGGAGGTACTTTTAGGGCACAAGATACCATATCAACCAGAGTTCAGAAAACTCAGAGAGAATGAAAATGTGGAGTGGGAGAGCTAACTGTATCTAAGGCACAGAGGGGACTCAAAAGAGACTTATAGCCCCATCTCTAAGTATCTGACTTTACTGAAGTACTTATGGATAAACTGCATCACTTCTGGGATTGCTTTAAATAATACAACCCATGAAGTGGGGAGGGTAGTGGATAGGAGAGAAAACAGAGATACATTGACTATTTGGGAATTGGGTGATAGATATATGTAGCATATTGAAATGCATTCTATGATTCTTTTATATATGACTTATGAGTTCAATTCCCAACAATCACATGGTGGGTCACAGCCATCTATGGTGGGATGTGGTGCCTTCTTCTGGCATGCAAGCAGAACACTGTATATGTAATAAATAAATAAATCTTAAAAATAAAAAGCAGAAGCCAGGTATGAAGGACCATACCTGTAATCGTCAGAAGGTAGAAAATGGAAGAATCATGAGTCTAAGGCTAGCCTAGGTTACACTGAAAGACTCTTTAAAAAAAGAAGTGTTGGACTCACCAGCATCAGGGTCATCTCCTCCTTGAGATCATCGTAGCGCTCCTCCAGACGACTAAACTCATTCAGAAGGTTCTGATACCTCAGCCTTTCGTCGTTTAGGTCAAGCTCCAGCTGTTTTGTCTCTTCTATTAATTTCCTCTCCATAGTTTCTGAAATAAACAAGAGGATATAGAGGATCAAGGCCTGGGAAAAGGGTGACAGGTGACATGTCAGGTCACAGAGGTGGCAAGAGAAAGCTCTTGAAACATCCCAAAGAGACAGATGAGGAAGTTAGGCTTTCCAGCAAAAGTCAAAGGATAACAGAAGCAACTTGGGCTAAAAGCAAAAGCCCCTGGTCACAAATGAGATTAAGAAATTAGTTAAAAAAAATAGCTATCCTTTGTTCCAAGGATAATAGCAATTCCATTATTATTTACCATCTAGATTCCAGCATTGCATCTTTTACTCAACTAGGAATCTGCTTCTATATTATAATAAACTTTTTTTTTTTTAAGAACTAAACAGAACAAAAACACCCTGTCCCTGCAAAACTGGAAAGGGGATATGTATACAAAGGTGACTCTACAGAATTCAAGAATGTAAATAGGTGTGCTGACTTCCAGTTTCTTTTAGTGGGACTGAACTTCTATCCCTGGGAGAGCAGTTTGTGAGGAAAAGAAAGAAACATGACCCTAACTAAATCACTTATGCTTATACTTATGACAACTCTTATCTATGGACTCTCCATGAACTATAGCTCTAGTCCCACTAGTTCATGCACTGGTTACTACACATTCCTATTTGTTTGCTGTTTGAGACAGTCTTGCTATGTAGCCCTGCCTAACCTGGCATTAGAACTATGCAGTCCATCCTGCTTCAATTTCCTCAGTGCTGGGATTATGGGTGTACAATACTACACCCAGATTACAAGAAATTCTGGATAAACTTCCACAACATACTAGTCTAATAAGCAATAACAAAATAAAAAATATACACACACACACACACATATATATATATATACACATACACACAAATATATACAGAATATAGTTGTATAGCGCTCTCTTAGGTTATTCATGTAAGTATTGGCACATAGATTTTTTTATTCCAAGAGTGTTGTTTTAGGCTATTCATAAAATCCAATAAAATACTTTGTGTGTGTGTATGTGTGTGTCAGAGCATACATGTGGAAGCCAGAGGATCATTACTTATGGGAATCTTCACCTACCATGTGACCCAGGAACTGAATTTAGGCCTTTAGGCCTAGAAATGAGCCCTTACTCATTTATTCTTACTTATTTATTTACTCATAAATTCTTTTGGCTGGGGCTGGAGAGATGGCTCAGTGGTTAAGAGCATTGCCTGCTCTTCCAAAGGTCCTGAGTTCAATTCCCGGCAACCACATGGTGGCTCACAACCATCTGTAATGAGGTGTCTTCTTCTGGTCTACAGAATATTGTATACATAATAAATAAATAAATATAAAAAAAATAAATTCTTTTGGCTAAATAATGATTCAAAAAGTCATTAATGGTGACTTTTACAGAACTTGTCATCCTATATAATAGTCAGTCTGTGTAGCTCAGTCCCATGGTTCTATCACACAATCTTCGAGCACACGGAATCCTGTCATCCTATTACCCAGCCCCATTTCTACCTAGATGATTGCTTAGGCGCTGCTGACTGTGCTATTTACTTCTTTGCCATCTCGCATGTGCTGCTTAAGGAACCCTAACTTTTCCAGTTACCCACCTCACTCTGCCTTCTCTGCAAGTAGCTTGCTTTTGGCTAGTCATGGTCTGGAGTTCAGAGATTAGCCACTGACTACAGGTAATAAAAAAACAAAGAAGCTATGCTTGGGGGATCAGTAGTTAAGAGTCCTGGCTGCTCTTCTAGAGGACCTGGATTTAATTCCCATGACCCACATGGTGGATTACAACCTGTAACTTCAGTTCTATGGGATCTAGCACCCTCTTCTGACGTCCACAGATACTAGGCATAAACATGGTGCACAGACACAAATACAAACAAAACATCCATATACATAAGATTAAATTAAATAAAAAAATACTTCTTAAAAGAAGCTATACATTGTAACCCAGTGACTCAACCAATTATTTTTATAAGATCAGGTTTCCTACCAATATGCTCTTTGTAGTCTTATATTTTGTTTCAAACTCCCTACCTGCTTCTATTGCTATATCATTTAATTCTCTGCCAGCTTCAGGAGTCAAGGAGGCAAGAGCCTTGTCACTATTACTTCCCTGATGCCTTCCACAATACTTTCCTAGGGGAGGGAATCTATAAATTATATATGAATTAATGAATGATAAAAATTTCCTAAGATACTCTATCAATTGTCCTTTATTTTCACCAATTTGTAGAAGTCAGCCAAAGTTTTCCAACAAAATTTTCAAGACAAATCCATTCTTACTTCTTCATTCCTATAGTCAATTTCAAAAAACGTGTATTTTCGTAGAAATGTTTTCATCATTCTGGATCCTCCCCTGACAACCTGCATCCTAGAAACCTCCTTTCATACTATTTTCTTTTGTCCCTTTTAACGTTATATTCTGACTTCTTGTCATCTTATTTTTTCGTTAAGGTTATTAATCCCAGGATGTCCTCTTGTTCCTCTACATCCTCTTTAATTGGAGGGAAGAGATTATGCGAGGGAAAGTACAGAGGGCTCTATCACCATGGTCTTAAGGAGAAACTTCCAGTCCATCCCTTGCTATCACTCTAATCTTTACTCTGGATGACTTTCAGAATGCCTCCATTTGTTACTGTGATTAAACACTGACTAAAACCTACATGGAGAGGAAAGGGTTTTATTTAGTTTACAAGTTACAGTCCATCTTTGAAACAAACCAGGACAAGCGCTCAAGCAGGAACTTAGAGGTAGGAACTGAAGCAGAAACACTGGGTGAATGTTGCTTACTGGCTTGCTTAGGGGCTCACATTTGGCTCCCTTAGTTTACACAGCCCACATCCATCACTAGGGATGGTACCACCCACAGTGGGCTGGGCCCGCCTACAGCAGTTAGCAATCAAGAGAATGCTCCATGCCCATAGGCCAATCTGATGGGTTCCTTTTATTTATGTCCATTTTAATCAACCCTACAATCAATAAATAGAATAAATGTACATATTTACTTAGTTCTTTATCTTAAAAATTACTTCTCATTTTTACTTTGGTAGCAAAGAGAATTGAACTTAAGAGGATGACACTCATTATTTTAGTAAAATATAAATAAAAATTAAGTGATCAGAAAGGATCAGAAAGACAAACAGTATGTGTTCTCAATCAGTAAAGATGCTTTAAAAAAAAAAAAAACAAAACAACTGACCTGATAGAAAAGAGTATAAAATATGGTCATGGGCACTGGGAGAGCCTGGAGAGAAGGTTGGAGCGAAGTTGGATAAAGGTTCCAAAGTACAGCTGAGCAGGAGAGTGGGAAGGTTTCCCACAAGTACAAATGACAAATTTTAAGGAGATGAAACACCTTGATTTGATCATTATGCATACACATGTACCAAATTATTGTACTGTTCCTACAAATATTTCCAATTACATCAGCTTGAAAATATATAAATAGTTTGGTGTGGAGGCACATTTGAAAGGGTGAAGCAGGAAGACCTCAAATTCAAAACCAGTCTGGACTCAAAGAAACAAATGCATGCATGTATATGTATGTTTACGTGTATAAGAGAACACATAAATATATCTACCCACAAATTAGTTCAAGAATTCTTATTAAATCAGTAAGAGTCCTATAAACTAAAACTCATACATATAAAATTTTAAGAGCTACATATTATATTACTGAATAACTTTATAGTCATACATAGAGCCAGCCCAGAGATCAACTTTATAAATTCATTAATTTTAGTAAAATATTTGAGTCTTGTTGGAAATGTAGATGAAAGCCAAAACTTTTTTAAAAAATTCAGCTCTAAGTAATACTGTGTAACTGGTAACAAAATGTCAAACTTATAAAACAGGTTTGAAATTGGTTGTTGTATGCTAGGCTAAACCCACATAAGCCTTACCTGTCATCTCCTTAGCTTGCTCCACAATGAGGTGATTGAGGGTCTCCTTTTCCTGTTTGAGCAAACTGTTTTCTTCCTTCAAAGTAGACACCAGCTATAAAATGAAACACCAAACTGAGATTCTGGTTGTAATAGACCGAGAAGTCCCACAACAGTCACTGTCTCTGTGCCTCCTGTCTTTACTTAGTTACATCTTGTCACCTGTCACGCTAATCTCAAATTCATTCTCTCTAGAGACATTTCTTAAAAACCATCTCCATTAGAGACCTTTTCTCTGAGCTGTTGCAAAGTTTTGTATTTGCCTCTTCACCATCCGTATGAATGGTTTATTATTTGTTTTCTTCCATAGACTAGATATATCCTGGAGGAACAGGATGGTGATGGTGATTGTTTTACTCTGTACGATGAACACTTAGCATCTGACTAACATCTAGAAAACATCTGTTCCCAGAAGAATGATACCCCTTGTTCTATTTTGATTCTGTTGTTGTGGTAGAGGAAAGGGTTTATTTCATCTTACATGTCCAGATCACAGTCCATCATCAGGGGAAGCTAAGGCAGGAGTTTGAAGAAGAAATCAGAATTAAGTTTGCTCCTAGGCTCATGCTCAGCTGTCTTTCTTACATAGCCCAGGCCCACATGACTAGGGAGTATACCAATTACAGTGGGCTGGGCCTTCCCACATCAATTAGCAATGAAGAAAACACCCCACAGACATGCCCAAGAAAATTTTGCTAGGGGCAATTCCTAAATTCCATCTTTTCGGTGTGTCAAGTTAACAACTAAGATTAGCCATCAAACACCTTCTCATTGTACCATCAGAATACCACAATTCAAAATGGGCAGATTAAAGAAATTGAAGATATGAGTCTTTAAAAAAATTTATGTGTATATGTAAGTGCATGCCGTGTGTGTGTGTGTGTGTGTGTGTGTGTGTGTGTGTGTGTGTGTGTGTGTTTGTGTGTGTATCCACAGCCAGAAGAGAGTACTGGACCCCACAGGGCTGGAATCACAGATGTATAGGCTACAAACTAAACTCTGGTCCTCTGGAATGGCAAAAGAAACACTTAACAGCTCAGACATCTCTCTGAACCCATGAATTCTTTTAAAAATAAAATCATTTTCATTTATTCTGAAAATTTCATATATGTATACAATGAATTTTCACCATATCCACACCCAGCTACTCTTATTATATCCCATTCCTAACAATCTTTTTCCAACTTCATGTTCTCTCCTTTTTATAAATATGGGTACATTTAATCAATCCACAGGACCATGTGTTGTACAATATTACTTTAGCCAGGCAAAGATGTGTTACATTTGTTTATGCTGTGGAATTTTACTTTAAATGTGTAAAGTGTGTTACATTTGTTTGTGCTGCATTTGTTTAATTATGTAAAGATGTGGTGCCTTTGTTTTACCTTGACTGTGTGTGAAAGCATTTTGGCTTTAGGAATTCACTAAAGATTTTCTGATACTCTCTTTTATATCATTTTAGGGAGAATTTTCTATGTGATACTTTCAAAGAACTTTTAAAGAACTGATCTTTTTGTTTAATTTCATGCTTAAATAAATACTGACTTTAGATAAATATTGATGTATTTATTTCCTTATAACAGCATGCTTTAAGAAATTATGGAAATGGGGCCAGGCATGGTGACGTATGACTTAAATGTGAGCACCTGGGAGGCAGAGGCAGGCAGATCTCTATGAGTTTGAGGTGGACTTGGTCTGACTGTAAATTCAGGCCAGCTAGGGCTACGTAGTAAGACCTTGTCTCAACAGAAATTAGCTAATAGGTAGAAAAGTATATATTTTACTACAATTAAAAAACAAAAGCAAAGATGGGACCCCTTATTTGTCCCTCAGGAGTATCTCCTCTGTGCTGTTCACCATTACTGTCACTAACTGACACAGCAGTCAGGTCTAGTGGCAGAGCCTAGCCTAGTGAAGCTGTTAGATGTCCAGGCTTTTGCCCAAATGACTCCATTAACTTTGGGGAACCAACCCGGAAGAAAAAGACACCTTTGTCAGTCCGAACACAGAGAGAAAAGATTCAGTGGTCTCACAGCTGCTTGAGTCAGCTTTATTTCAGGACCTTTTCTTATCATTCTACTCGGGCTGGCATCCACCACTTTTTACCACAATTTGGGACAGCAGAGAAACCAGTGTTTGGGCCGTAGGAGCCCTGAAGTCTGACTGTTTGGATCTCTCTTATGAGTCTATCTTGGACCTTGCCTTCCTTTTTGAGAGGGTAATGGGGTCTTAAGAGAATCAATCTCCAGCAAAACAGAAAGAAAGAAAGAAAGAAAGAAAGAAAGAAAG